ATAATTGTATTACCGATGACCAACCAATTAAGTTCCACTCGTCCGAGATTTCGTTGCAACCTACAAAATTATTTTTCATGCGAAAAACTATTTTTCCTTAGATGCGTATGTTTACGAACTGGACTTTGTTGTACTGGAAGGTCTTGATTATAACGCAGATCTAACTGATGACAGTAAAAAATACTTCTCCGACTCGTTAGTGGGCATCGAGAACGCGGTAAGCTTTTAATTAATTTTGGTTTGATATATTACATATATTTGTTTGGCTCTGGCTCCATATGCTTCTGTATAGTTTGCAACCCTGAATCCTGTTGTCCGGTTCCAGCTATTTGAGAGCTTCAGATTTGACTTCCACTACCACTATCATTAACGAACCTTTAACCAATCAAATTGATTAGAACTAACCAATCAGATGCGTACTATGTAGTGGAAGTCTAAACCTTTCTATTAACTCTGACCAAGACAACCATTTAAAAAAGACAAATTTGGCTACCGATGTTTACATCGTTGCTACTCAATTCACAAGTACTAGATAAAACATGAGCAGCCGATCTGTATTGCCAAGACTGCCAAGAAATAACTTATCAAAAACCGCGTCCAAGACGCGGGTATCTTGCGTCCACTGTGCGTCCACGGGCGCCCGCGTCCGTCTTGCGGGCGCCGTGCGTCCATCGTGCGTCCACTCTGCGTCTGCGGGCGCTTGCGGGTGCGTCCACTGTGCGGGCGCCATGCGTCCGCTTTGCGTCTGCGGGCGAGGACGCAGCTGAGAAAGAGTTCTATTCGTAGATCGTCGGAAATTATCGCGTTTCGCTTTTCATAAACAAACCGTGGGCGTCGGAAAATATTCATGTTAGCGATTTCACACCACGTTTTTATGCTTATACACAAGCGTTACAGACCTAGAATCCTAGATATTTATATTTCTAATATTAAACTTACCGTGAAATTTCAGAATTTGTGCTTCGTAAAGTTCCTTTTCGTATTTGATCTCTACTTTCGCACCTTCGTATAACGTTTGGTTTAAACCCAGTAATCTTTTAACGTTGCCGGTTGGCAAAATGCACGTATGGTTTTATATCTTCTTCGAAGAAACCCAAAATACGTTTTGGTTGACAAGTAAGCGATCGATATCTCATTTTATTAGTCTGATAGTAATACGGATCGAGTGATATTAGTCTGAGCTCTTCACTTCAGCTTTAGCGAATTATACTGCAACTTTGAAAATCAAGCGATGAGTCACAGTCATTGAACCGTGTTGAAACACAAAGACTGTTTCCTGGACATGTAAAGGTATTCCATTAAGGGATTAAGAGAAGTCATTTATCCAGAAATTATATGGTAATTATCAATTTATATGACATATCACCATGTGCATTTACTGCTTTGGAAAAACAACACAAACTTGTTGCTGTAAATAAAATTATATAGTGGCTCGTAGTAATGGTATTTTATATGAAAAATCAAAAGCACTATATATATTGTAAATGAGCATCTTCGTTTTAATATTCTGACGAGTTACGGAGACATAACATTATTCAAATGCAGAATTGCATATCAACTAATCGGCAATCTTCTACGAGGTAAGTCTGAATTTGAGTAGCAAATGAATGTGTTGCGAGATATATACTCGTTGTAGTCGTGATCTCACTGAGTTTAGTATATGTGGCTACATTATATTTATATATAGTTTATGTCTATTTTACGCTCCAATATACAGTCATATACGCTTCAATCGCGACTCAAGTACGTGTGATTGCATTGTAAAAGCACTACGCTTACTGTAGTATAACGTATGACATTATAAAATGGTTATACTACCAGATGATCTTGATACGCGGAAAAGTACTGGCACTAGTTGTCAAATAGAAATCCATTTTGTGATTAAAACAACTGAATATCTCCTGTAATATACTTTATTTCGATTCTATATTTTTGTCAGAGCTATAGTTCTAATAACCAAACATAATTACAAAATTTCAACTAGTTTCATAAAGAATAACGAAAGATATAATTGACTGAATACATCAAAATGGATTTCTATTCGGACAACCCTTTCTGAGCGCTGATTGGCTAAAATACGAACACGAGATCACCTGGTAAGTGTAACGCTTAGGTTAAATAAAACTCGATTTCGGATTCAACTTTTTATTCTTTGCTTCTCCGATCAGTGACACTGATCTGTATTCTCACGACAAACTACGAGTATGATGCAAATATTAGTTCGTTTTTCCGATCATGTTACGACGACTGCGTCCAAGCGGACGCAGTTTTTAACTAGAGGCCGGACGCGGGCGCTTTGGAGGCAGGACGCGGGCAGAGCAGACGCAAGACGCGGGCGTCGTGGAGGCCGGACGCGGGCGCTCTGAAGGCAGGACGCGGGCAGAGTGGACGCAAGACGCGGGCGCTCTGGAGGCAGGACGCGGGCAGACGCGGGGACAAGTTATTTCTTGGCAGTACTGTACCTTAACACAAATCATGTACAATATATCAAATCACATATGACAACATAAGTAAATTTCTTATAGTAGAATATTTATTTCAGGACTGATTGTGCATGTCTACAGTATACTTTGCATCAATGCATCAACTTTTATTGTACTCAATATATGTACTTTAATTACAGAATGTTCAGTTTATCCCTTAATTAAATTAGTCAAGTATAGTAGCATATATTATATTCTGGCAGTGTCATATCAGTTAGTTTAATTGTTTGAAACTGTTCACAAGCGTCATTAACTGCTCTGTATTACACCTGGAAGGGAATTTTTCTAAACATCTCCTCGCAATTTCTTTTAAAGGTCGGTATTTGCAACGGCTATAAATTCTGGAAACGACAATACCAACAGAGTAAATATCACTCTTTATTGAGGGTGTGTGTGTACCATCGACCACTTCTGGAGCAATATGTCTGTGATGTTTGAAATATTTTTGTTGTTCCTCAAGGGTCAGAACTTTCCTCTTTGCTTTATTCATAAGACATGCCTTACCAAAGTCAATAAGTATTGGACAACACAAACGCGAGCAGACTACAAGTAATATGTTGTCGCACTACAACTCCTACAAATACTATATAGCATATATTGATATGTATCCTCTTTAATGGCGACAAGTAAAAAACATGCAACCCAAAAGAGGTGCTGGTAAAAGGCGGCCAAGATCACATTCCCAACAACAGGAACTGCATAAATACCAATACATACATGACTTGCAATGTGAATTTGCAATACACATCAAGAGGCGGCTCATAAAAACCACCAGGATGAGTTGATGGTAAAAGGCGGCATTTAGCCACATTCCCAAAAGCTGTAAAACAGCATTGCAAAATCAAAATGAAGTCAAATTGACTGTCCAAACTTTGTAATTAGTAACTTTTTATTATGTCAAAAGTGGTGGGGGAAATGAAATAGTTTCATGTTAGACATTTGTAAAAACATATAATCTTTATATTTAACACAGAAAAAGCAGTTAATTTTTTCAATAATGTACAGCCTGTTAGAGGGGGGTAATGGGGGGTACCGATCCTGAAGCACGAAAAATAATATGCAGCGATCTTGAAGCATGAAAAATAAAAGAAGGAAGTCCTGAAGCACGTAAAATAAATTTATTACGAATCTGAAATGTAAAGTAAACATGAAATGTAAGCAACAATCATACTTAGAAGTCTTAAAGGTGAATATAAACAGTCTGTACTAGGCGGTGTGTTCACCTATTTGTTTACAATTGCGTCGATGTTCATGATTTATATAAACTTTGAAACCTCCGTTCCCCAATCAAAACATAGCTAAAATCCAGAAACAAAATTAATGGGATATATTGTCCAGAAACGAGAAATAACCGTCTTTAAATACAGCTGAAAACGGAGAACGGATATTGAATACACCGCAAGCACGATACACGGCATCCATGTCGGGATCGAAAAACGTTTAATAAAAAGATGACTGAACGAAGAACGAATAATTAAATTACCCCAAAACGCAGCACGAAAATACCCCATTACCCCCCTCCTGTTACATTATTCCTAGCAAATTGAACCCTTTAAACACAGTATCTAAACACCTTTTTTCTGGTATTTGTTCAATATATATTAGCAACTAGCAAGTTTAAAAGTACTGGCATTCTGTGGGGACTCTATAATGCTTTGGCCAAATGATGAAAAACCAGAGCAATTAACTTGTTTTTATTGTAGTAAAGTTGCGATTCTTATTTTAACATTGCGCTAACATGCCACCATGTGTATTATTTTACTCCTTGTTGTACCACACACTCTTTATATAATATTATAAGCATTGTGGCTATGCATGGACATTGTCTGGTATTGCACTTACAGTAATCAACTATACAATGCTTTTTTATCATGTATTGTTGCCACCTAAATATTGTCTAACACAAAGCCATCTCATTGTTTGCCAACAAGTGCAGTATATCTTTCTTCTTTTTACAAAATTTTGATGGAGTAAGGCACTTTTAGAAGAAATACAACTCCTACAAATACTATAGCATATATTGATATGTATCCTCTTTAATGGCGACAAGTAAAAAACATGCAACCCAAAAGAGGTGCTGGTAAAAGGCGGCCAAGACCACATTCCCAACAACAGAAACTGCATAAATACCAATACATACATGACTTGCAATGTGAATTTGCAATACATGCACATCAAGAGGCGGCTCATAAAAGCCACCAGGATGAGTTGATGGTAAAAGGCGGCATTTAGCCACATTCCCAAAAGCTGTAAAACAGCATTGCAAAATCAAAATGAAGTCAAATTGACTGTCCAAACTTTGTAATTAGTAACTTTTTATTATGTCAAAAGTGGTGGGAGAAATTAAATAGTTTCATGTTAGACATTTGTAAAAACATATAATCTTTATATTTAACACAGAAAAAGCAGTTAATTTTTTCAATAATGTACAGCCTGTTACATTATTCCTAGCAAATTGAACCCTTTAAACACAGTATCTAAACACCTTTTTTCTGGTATTTGTTCAATATATATTAGCAACTAGCAAGTTTAAAAGTACTGGCATTCTGTGGGGACTCTATAATGCTTTGGCCAAATGATGAAAAACCAGAGCAATTAACTTGTTTTTATTGTAGTAAAGTTGCGATTCTTATTTTAACATTGCGCTAACATGTATTATTTTACTCCTTGTTGTACCACACACTCTTTATATAATATTATAAAGTTGCGATTTATAATATTATAAAGTTGCGATTCTTATTTTAACATTGCGCTAACTGTGTATTATTTTACTCCTTGTTGTACCACACACTCTTTATATAATATTATAAGCATTGTGGCTATGGACATTGTCTGGTATTGCACTTACAGTAATCAACTATACAATGTTTTTTTATCATGTATTGTTGCCACCTAAATATTGTCTAACACAAAGCCATCTCATTGTTTGCCAACAAGTGCAGTATATCTTTCTTCTTTTTACAAAATTTTGATGGAGTAAGGCACTTTTAGAAGAAATGCAACTGCTACAAATACTATAGCATATATTGATATGTATCCTCTTTAATGGCGACAAGTAAACTAGGGATCCAAGGATAGTGTGAAGTTTCAAATTTAAAAAGACACTGCAAGAACTATATAGGGTCGCCGACAACCTAGAAAAGCTTGATGGCTTACACTACGAAATAAACAGTTACCAAAGGCATTTCATCTCATTATTTATTGCTTTTAATACGCTCGGCACACGAGTAGCGTGACGTTTGAAACGAGGGGCATTTCACTCCAAAAAAGCGTACGGGATTTTCGGATTTTTAAAAATCCGCGGATTTTTTTGCGGATTTAGCGGATTTTTCCCGGATTTTTAGCGGATTTTTGAAGAGAAAATTTGCTGGATTTTCCGGATTTGTTCGGATTTTCCGGATTTGTTCGGATTTTTTCTGGATTTTTGAAAATCTGTTGGATTTTCCGGATTTGTTTGGATTTTCTGGATTTGTTCGGATTTTTTCTGGATTTTTTTTAATTATAGAGTTATAGAGCTAGGTAACGTTTTGAACAAATAATCTTAAGTTGTACGATGTCAACGTTATGCCAGGACGTCAGGGTCGAGCAGAGGACTGGGACTATGACCACAGCCTTCTGAAACTAACGAAGGCTGGGCATGCAGTCATTTTGTTTAAAATTCAAACAAGTTCATTATTCTTTCAAAATTTATATAATGACAGCGATCACGGTAAGCGTTTAATAGCTTTCGCTGTCCGCCATTTTGAACGTGGCAAAGAACCTTTACGAGTAAATTACACCAAGTACTTCATATATTTTTTGTGGATTTGCGGATTTTTTAAGGATTTTGAAGGATTTCTGTGGATTTTTGAAGGATTTCTGTGGATTTTTGAAGGATTTTTTGGATTTTGATGGATTCAACGGATTTTGAGGATTTCATGGATTTTTTCTGGATTTTTTCCGGATTTTTTGACGAAGTGTACGGGATTTTTGGAGTGAATTGCCCCTCGGTTTGAAACAAGCCTAACACATCAGAAACGTGCCTTGTGAAACTGATGCAATTCACCTATTTATTGTGTCACCAACAACCAAATTTTGCATATTCTAAATTTTCATTTGCATTTGCAGCTGTCGCTGAAAGCATCCCCACGAGGCTACTGCTATGCTAAATTTATCTAATAAACTATAATTGAAATAGCTGTATAAGATATGTTATGAATAATAAGCACTACGTCGTTACATCATTAAAAGACGCATTTTATCCTCATCCGTTCCGTATTTTATCCGTTCCGTGGATCCGCTCCATCCGCTTCCGCATTTTAACTTAATTGTGACATGTTTCACAATAACAAGTTTCATTGACCTTTGACTTTTCCCAGTATGACGTGTGTCTATTTTCAGCTTTTCGCATGTGTTGAATATATAAAATATCACTTTAGATTTCAATAGTTTCACAGTTATAGCAGTGTTTAAAACATTTTTGACAAGCTTTGATACAGTTCTGTGTACAGAATACTACAGATTGATTCTCGTAAGATCTGGTAGAGTTATCGTTGCACTGAATACGAGTTTGCACTGTGCTAGACACTAGACAGTAAACAAAGACAAGGACAAGGTCCGTGAATGTACACGTTGGCTACATGTACCTCCTTGCTTTTTTCTTCTATTGTATAAAGCTTGTTGGCGAGCCAATTAAGCGATTAGCGATAGCACGTTGGCGATAACACCTAAACACGTTGGCTATCTCCTCGTCTTTCTTATTTATACAAGGAGCTCTGACTCAACTGATTCCTTTAGTCTCGTAAGTTTTTTTCTTCGTAAACGCCGTACAAACGTTTACCCGCTTCTGTTTAATAGTTGTTTATGCTTTATTGATCTGATATAAATCTGATGCAATTTTTCGCTCTTTGTACTGAGTATAGCCATTTATTCTGTGATGTAGCACCTTATACAGTCAATGAGAATGTATAATGAATACACGGTCTAAATAATATCGACGGTAATGCATAACATCAATTTATATATTGTATTACTATTATTGCGTAGAATCTCAAAGATTTTCTCAATATTCATGTCTGAAATGTTTATATACTTGAAAACAACACTGTCTCGCTTCTGCCTGCACGTACTGTACCTCTGTATAATGAGTATGCTGTGAAAATAATATCGGCACTCAATTGAATGCCTAGAAGCAAGATTTTCGACTCAATATTTACGTCTGAAATGTTTATACACTTAACTGCACTGTCTAGGCGGTCTAGCTCCTTTCTAGCTCTGTATAATGAATATACCGTCTAAATATTATCGGCACTTATTAAATTGAACGCCCGTAATGCATAAGATCAATTTATATATTGTGTAGATTTTCAAAGATTTACTCAATATTCACGTCTGAAATCTTTATATACTTGAAAACAACACTGTCTCGCTTCTGCCTACGTACTGTACCTCTGTATAATGAGAATACCGTAGAATCAAGATATTCGACTCAATATTTACGTCTGAAATGTTTACACACTTGACTGCACTGTCTAGGATTATAATAATTCCCCTGTCTAGGCGGTCTAGCTCCTTCCTAGTTCTGTATAATGAATATACCGTCTAAATATTATCGGCACTTAATTGAACGCCCGTAATGCATAAGATCAATTTATATATTGCGTAGATTTTCAAAGATTTACTCAATATTCACGTCTGAAATCTTTATACATCTGAAAACAACACTGTCACCCCTTCCTAGCATATCGTCACGCCATCGTGATCTACGGCTTGATAGCGCATGCGCATTTGCGCTACTAAAGAAAAAATCGGGTGTTCCGGGGTAAAGATCCTTTACACAACATGAGAAGCGAATGTTCTAAATTTACAAAAAATTACAATAACGAAAGCGATTCCTCGAAATTTTTGTGAACTTGGCAAAAGGATAACAGAATATGTAAATAAGTTAACTGAAATTGCCTAAATAACCTTCAAAGTACTGACTAAGTACAATAAATCACTACGAACATAAATCGTATACACCCCCCGGAAAGTTTACTCTATGACTGACTGACTGACTGACTGTTTGACTGACTGACTGATTCGTGTGAATTCGCCAGCCATCACAATAGTGTGAAGTGAAACTTCACACTAAAAACATGCAACCCAAAAGAGGTGCTGGTAAAAGGCGGCCAAGACCACATTCCCAACAACAGAAACTGCATAAATACCAATACATACATGACTTGCAATGTGAATTTGCAATACACATCAAGAGGCGGCTCTTAAAAGCCACCAGGACGAGTTGATGGTAAAAGGCGGCATTTAGCCACATTCCCAAAAGCTGTAAAACAGCATTGCAAAATCAAAATGAAGTCAAATTGACTGTCCAAACTTTGTAATTAGTAACTTTTTATTATGTCAAAAGTGGTGGGGGAAATGAAATAGTTTGATGTTAGACATTTGTAAACATATAATCTTTATCTTTAAGTTAACACAGAAAAAGCAGTTAATTTTTTCAATAATGTACAGCCTGTTACATTATTCCTAGCAAATTGAACCCTTTAAACACAGTATCTAAACACCTTTTTTCTGGTATTTGTTCAATATATATTAGCAACTATCAAGTTTAAAAGTACCGGCATTTTGTGGAGTCTCTATAATGCTTTGGCCAAATTATGAAAAACCAAAGTAATTAACATGTTTTATTGTAGTTAAAATCATCTGGCGTTAGACAGAGTAAAATACTCTGGCGTTGGGCAGAGTAAAATACTAAAGTAGGGTGCATCAGGGTGCTCCACCACTCAATGGGTTAAAATTGCGCTAACATGATATAATGTGTATTATTTTGCTCCTTGTCACACCATACACTCTTTATATAATATTATGAGCATTGAGGTTATGGACATTGTGTGGTATTGTACTTACAGTAATCAACTACAATGATTTTTATCATGTATTGTTGCCACCTAAATATTGTCTAACACAAAGCCATCTCATTGTTTGCCAACAAGTGCAGTATATCTTTCTTCTTTTTACAATATTTTGATGGAGTAAGGCACTTTTAGAAGAAATGCAACTCCTGCAAATACTATAGCATATATTGATATGTATCCTCTTTAATGGCGACAAGTAAAAAACATGCAACCCAAAAGAGGTGCTGGTAAAAGGCGGCCAAGACCACATTCCCAACAACAGAAACTGCATAAATACCAATACATACATGACTTGCAATGTGAATTTGCAATACACATCAAGAGGCGGCTCTTAAAAGCCACCAGGATGAGTTGATGGTAAAAGGCGGCATTTAGCCACATTCCCAAAAGCTGTAAAACAGCATTGCAAAATCAAAATGAAGTCAAATTGACTGTCCAAACTTTGTAATTAGTAACTTTTTATTATGTCAAAAGTGGTGGGGGAAATGAAATAGTTTGATGTTAGACATTTGTAAACATATAATCTTTATCTTTAACACAGAAAAAGCAGTTAATTTTTTCAATAATGTACAGCCTGTTACATTATTCCTAGTCAATTGAACCCTTTAAACACAGTATCTAAACACCTTTTTTCTGGTATTTGTTCAATATATATTAGCAACTAGCAAGTTTAAAAGTACTGGCATTTTGTGGAGACTCCATAATGCTTTGGCCAAATTATGAAAAACCAAAGTAATTAACATGTTTTATTGTAGTTAAAATCATCTGGCGTTAGACAGAGTAAAATACTCTGGCGTTAGACAGAGTAAAATACTAAAGTAGGGTGCATCAGGGGGCTCCACCACTCAATGGGTTAAAATTGCGCTAACATGATATAATGTGTATTATTTTGCTCCTTGTCACACCATACACTCTTTATATAATATTATGAGCATTGAGGTTATGGACATTGTGTGGTATTGTACTTACAGTAATCAACTACAATGATTTTTATCATGTATTGTTGCCACCTAAATATTGTCTAACACAAAGCCACCTCATTGTTTGCCAACAAGTGCAGTATATCTTTCTTCTTTTTACAAAATTTTGATGGAGTAAGGCACTTTTAGAAGAAATGCAACTCCTGCAAATACTATAGCATATATTGATATGTATCCTCTTTAATGGCGACAAGTAAAAAACATGCAACCCAAAAGAGGTGCTGGTAAAAGGCGGCCAAGACCACATTCCCAACAACAGAAACTGCATAAATACCAATACATACATGACTTGCAATGTGAATTTGCAATACACATCAAGAGGCGGCTCTTAAAAGCCACCAGGATGAGTTGATGGTAAAAGGCGGCATTTAGCCACATTCCCAAAAGCTGTAAAACAGCATTGCAAAATCAAAATGAAGTCAAATTGACTGTCCAAACTTTGTAATTAGTAACTTTTTATTATGTCAAAAGTGGTGGGGGAAATGAAATAGTTTGATGTTAGACATTTGTAAAAACATATAATCTTTATATTTAACACAGAAAAAGCAGTTAATTTTTTCAATAATGTACAGCCTGTTACATTATTCCTAGCAAATTGAACCCTTTAAACACAGTATCTAAACACCTTTTTTCTGGTATTTGTTCAATATATATTAGCAACTAGCAAGTTTAAAAGTACTGGCATTTTGTGGAGACTCTATAATGCTTTGGCCAAATTATGAAAAACCAAAGTAATTAACATGTTTTATTGTAGTTAAAATCATCTGGCGTTAGACAGAGTAAAATACTCTGGCGTTACACAGAGTAAAATACTAAAGTAGGGTGCATCAGGCGGCTCCACCACTCAATGGGTTAAAATTGCGCTAACATGATATAATGTGTATTATTTTGCTCCTTGTCACACCATACACTCTTTATATAATATTATGAGCATTGAGGTTATGGACATTGTGTGGTATTGTACTTACAGTAATCAACTACAATAATTTTTATCATGTATTGTTGCCACCTAAATATTGTCTAACACAAAGCCACCTCATTGTTTGCCAACAAGTGCAGTATACCTTTCTTCTTTTTACAAAATTTTGATGGAGTAAGGCACTTTTAGAAGAAATACAACACCTACAAATACTATACCGTAGCATGTATTGATATCTATCCTCTTTAATGGCGACAAGTAAAAAACATGCAACCCAAAAGAAGTGCTGGTAAAAGGCGGCCAAGACCACATTCCCAACAACAGAAACTGCATAAACACCAATACACATATGACTTGCATTGTGAATTTGCAATACACATCAAGAGGCAGCTCTGAAAAGCCACCAGGATGAGTTGATGGTAAAATGCGGCATTTAGCCACATTCCCAAAAGCTGTAATTTAACAGCATTGCAAAATCAAAATGAAGTCAAATTGACTGTTCAAACTTTGTAATTAGTTGAAATGGTTTTAGACATTTGTAAGCATACAATTTTTATATTAAAAATCAATGTGCATCTTGTTACACTAAATATACAGAATTATAAAATAAACTGGCCACCAACAAATAGACAAATTATTAACTTCTATCCCAATCAACACTTATTCTTGACTAATATTATCGGTCTGAAAATGCCAATGAAAATTAAATTAACTGAAGCAATTTTCACAAACCTGGCACTTGTATTTAGGTCGTCTCCTTTGTTTTGAGCAGCGACTGGTTCAGTGTTTACAGATGTTCCTTCGCCGATGTCTACACCATCCTGTGGGTCATCTTCAACATTTTCTTCAACATTAATAACCACATTGTTTGACATATCCTTTGAAAACGACTCCTTAGCTTCAATAAATTTCATCCTATCACCAATAATTGGGATAAGCAACTCCGTACCCCGTTCGATCAGTGCCATTAGGGCTTTAGAATCAATTCTGTTTTCTATATTTTACAAAAACAAACATTACAATTAAGGAACAAAACATTTTGTAAACAAAGTATGCGACTATGCGTGGACACTGGATGGACCACTACACTTAGCCTGCATGGCAGGCGGTATTTCAACGGGCAGCGAAAATTAGGGAAGCAAAGAAATACCGTCTGCCGCAAAACTAGGGGTTTTTGAATTACCCGTCCGCTGGTGAACGGGAAAAACGGATTGGTTAGTATTTTTATGTAGTTGTCAATCAACGGCTAAATTCGGTTAAATGTTAATCATTAACCAAATGTTTTGACGTTTTGAAACTCTGCATTTTGAAATTAGTTCACGTCAAGTCAGACAACAAATGGAATAGCATAACAAAAGAAGCAAATTAAAAGATACAAGCTGAAAAATAACACTCTAAATAGTGTTATTGATAGAGATTCGAACAAGAATATTTAACAAAGCAGATACGTCCGAAGGGGCCGAAGTTATGATCGGCGAAAGGTATGGGCTAGTCTATATTTTCGTTCAGACAATTACATGCGTATTAATTCGATAATATACTATCTCGCTTGACTTTCAGAGGCCATAAATCGCAATAATGTTGACATTTTACTAAAACTATCGATAGGAATTAGGACATATATATTTCTTCACTGAATCGAACAGTGGGATTTTCATGTAGGCCTATCATGTCCTGAACCAAAGATACTTGATAGATATTATATACGAACCTCCAAAGTACAAACAGGGCCCGTCAAGGGGCCGGTTGATGCAGTATAAATTATCAAATAACAGTTAAACTCTTATATACCGTTGAATATGTATAGTTGTAAACAAATAAAAAGTATCGTTCTATAAGGTTCAATACTTTCATTTTGGTTGTTGACTGATGACGAATCTATAGTATAGACTTGCATGCTTTGTATTTTGAACTTATTAAACCACCGTTTTAAGGCAGCTAAACGGGCTTGGTTTATATTAACACATAAAATAAATTCCTTGATTCTCATCACTAGACATGAGTCTACACTTTGAAATGTCGAAGACAGTGGGAGATTTATTTTTTATATTTTATATTTATATAATTTATATATCAATAGTTCGTATCTCCACGAACGATGACAGAATGACTGAGTTTCTTTAAAATACAATGAAATTTCACTAAAAATTCTGTTTGTTTCAAATTGGAAGTTTAAAATGGCAATAAAAACTCTATATAAAATATGAAAAAATTAACTGTCTTGAGTTATTTTGTCGGGCGGTACATTTATATTGTATAACGAAAAATAAAACGTTTTCACGAGGATTTTAAAATTCAGTCGGGCGGTGATGAGAATCAAGGAATTTACTTTATGTTGGGCAGTTGGGACTTGGGAGCAGCTTGGGAGTGGCTAATTTTGAATATTTACTTAATTAATGCATCTATAAATAGCGTTGATGCTTCAGGGGCGGTAGTTCATTTACACCCAGTTTTGCGGCAGGCGGTATTTCCTACGTACCGCCTGCCATGCAGGCTACACTACACTGGACGCACAGCACTCTCGTTCCCAGTGTATGCCTGTTCGCGGGTTAGGTAGTGAAATGAAACCGGTTGCTCCTAAAATAACACGTGCACATGAACCATGTTTCGCGCCCGTGTCAGCATCAAGACATTTTGCCTGAGCGCAAAAATCGTAAAATGGAAGGCTACACAAACTTATTGTAATCATTTTAATATGAACTGATATGTTATTCTTAAAAATATAAGTAATCAACAACGAGAATACATCCACCCATGACTAGTCCCGCAAATTGATGCTTGAGCAAATAGGAACGATCCTGTCTTTTGCACGTGGCGATTTACAATTCAAAAAATTAGCACTTTGATTTGTCCATATCTTATTTTTACTATCTTTTTCATTACAAACATGCCATTATACACACGTCGTTCGCCATGTGATAGAAGCGCCGATCGGCATTCGCTGTAGTTCAAATTTATCCTCTAGCAATGCCAGCAATAAAATATATTTGGTGACGCGCACGATATTTTGGCGCGCACGACTTTTGATATATTAAAATTATACGGTATTTCGGCTGCGGGCTGGCTCACAAAAGGGCCATTTATACGAGCGAAAATAAGTCGCGGCCTAAATTAGCCGCGGCTTAAACAAGTCGCGAACGACTCGTATAAGCAGTCAATTTGCAATAAGCCGTGGCTAAAATAAGCCCAGGCTTGAAAGCTAGGCCTAAATAAGCCGTGGCTTAGCGCGAATTGACTGTTTATACGAGTCGTTCGCGACTTATTTAAGTCGCGGCCTATTTAGGCCGTGGCTTATTTTCGCTCGTATAAATGGCCCTAAAGTCACAATTACCGAATCCATTCACACAAATGAACAAAGCAGAAGGTATTTCAAAAACACAAACTTATAACTAAGCTTGAAACTTCAATACTCTGCGCCGTTAATCGGCTGATATGTGGCAAACGCCAAAGGCGCTTCGCCCTAAGGCTTTACGTAGCGCATTAATATATTATTCCGCAATAACTTACCAAGGAATCTCTCACAATATTCTTCAAAACCATTCTTCTTCAACCATTCCTGAACTTGCTCCATTACGGAGAGATTTAGAATTAAAAAAGCTTTTGGCAGTACAAACGCGTCACGTCTTCGAACTTAACGAACTTTGATCTGACACGAAGCAGGACAAACTACAGGAGTCCAGGACGCTGATGACTCAACGGTATCCGTTTTGGGCGTCACTGATTGGTTCATGTAGGCAGTTATGCAAATTATTTACGTCAATGCATCAATCACAGTTTTCTCGTATTTCACTTGATAAAAAGTCTTTTTGGCTTTGTATGTAGAAACTCCAACCCATTTGCCAATGAAATGGGCCGTTTCTAATCTTCTAAAAAAAACTAGATGATGCTACATACACCCTCTCAGCTTATGTAAAGGATTTGGATCAAACGAGCGCAGTAGTTTTGTAAATTTTCGCTACAGAATGGACTTCATGCAGTAAAAAAGGTACACAATTGTTTGCAGTGTTCCTTTTGTCTTGTTTTATGGCTTGATCTTGTCACTTTTTATATTTAATATATAGACTGTACATCTCCCATTTTAAGTAAGCCCGCATTCACATTCCTGCCGCCGAGCTGACGTTGTTATCTTTCTGTTCATGAATCATGATCACTAATTTACTGCAAAATTAAAAGCTGAGGATTTTGACTCACTGAATGAGAATTTTTTGTTGTGAGTAGTTTTACTAAAGTCAGTAGCTAGTTTATTGTAGCTCCTGCCATGAGCAAGTTTGAGTTAAATTACTGATGTCATGAGTAAGTGTGAGTAATTTGTAAAACTACTCATCCCATGAGCAAGTTTAACCCATTGAGTTGCATTGCACCCTGATGCACCCTACTTTAGTATTTTACTCTGTCTAACGCCAGACGATTTTACTCGGCAAGGGGAAAGAGCTGGCGCTTAATGGGTTAAGTAAAACTACTCATGGCATGAGTAAGTGTCAGTAAACTAGTCATGCCATGAGTAAGTTTGAGTAAAACTACTCATGCCATGAGTAAACGTCAGTAAACTACTCATGCCATGAGTAAGTCTGAGTAAAACTACTCATGCCGTGAGTAAGTGTCAGTAAACTACTCATGCCATCAGTAAGTTTGAGTAAAACTACTCATGCCATGAGTAAGTCTGAGTAAAACTACTCATGCCATGAGTAAGCGTCAGTAAACTACTCAAGCCATGAGTAAGCCTGAGTAAAACTACTCATGCCATGAGTAAGCGTCAGTAAACTACTCATGCCATGAGTAAGTCTGAGTAAAACTACTCATGCCATGAGTAAGCCTGAGTAAAACTACTCATGCCATGAGTAAGTCTGAGTAAAACTACTCGTGCCATGAGTAAGCCTGAGTAAAACTACTCATGCCATGAGTAAGCCTGAGTAAAACTACTCATGCCATGAGTAAGCGTCAGTAAAATACTCATGCCATGAGTAAGTGTGAGTAAAACTACTCATGCTATGAGTAAGTGTGAGTAAGTTGTTTTGACATTTTGTTGACTTCACTCAACTTTTGAGTAATGGAGTTCAAATTACTCAAATGTATGAGTAATTTTACTCAAAAACAGTATTATGTTTGTGCTTGAGTAAATGATTCATCATTTTGAGTCAATTTACTCATGTTGTTGGTTAAAATGACTCAAGATAAATTTTTACTCAATATTGTGAGTATTCTTTTACTCGCATGATTGAGTAAAATTACTCGCAAATGGTGTTTACTCTTAGATGTGAGTATTTGTACTCAGTTATTTGAGTAACAGTTTCAATTTACTCAAGACGTGAGTATGGTGACTCAATTTTTGAGTCATTTTACTCAAATCGAGAAATGGATTTTTTGCAGTGTGCCTGGAAATTAAAGGAATACCACAGCGTGAGGGGGAGAATACTGACTCGTTGGTGAAGCATTCGGCCAATGAGTTGGGTGTAGATGTAAAAGATGAGGACATATCTATCAGTCATCGCTTGCCAACATCATACTCAATACGACAAAATCAGGACCCGATCATCATCGTTAAATTTACGCGCAGAAATATCAGAGATAAATTCTATCAATCTCGTAAGGGACTGAGGAGAAAATCAACACGCGATTTGGGCCTCACCAAGGTTGCAGAAAATCCAATTCTTATCAGTGAGAGTCTCACTAAACAGAACAAAATATTATTTAACAAAAGCTTAGAAACAAAGAAGACACTTGGATATAAATTCATATGGACGAGAATTGGGAAAAATATTTATGAGACAAAATGAGAGAACACGTGCTGCCACCATTTCATCTGAAAAGGATGTTGAAAAGTTATCAACTCCTTCATAAACCTTATTTGTACGGTCTATCAGCTAAGTCACCTTTACTTCATTAATTTATTAATTCATTAATTATAAAAGATTTATTTAATGAATAATGAGTTCTAATACTAACTTCCATTGTCATAAATGCAAAAACTCACTAGTTAAGATCAAGAGAAGAGTTCAGTGCGATATTTGCAATCATCATTATCATCAAAAATGCACACCTTTTTCCATTAAGGAGTGTAATTATCTGAACAAAATCAAAGGTGGTATTTTGCATTGGACTTGCCCTGAAAGTTTATTAGATATATTTCCATTTCAAAACTGTGATGACCAATCAATTTCTGAATTGTTTTTTTTTTCTAATTCTATTTTATCATGCCAGAGTTCAAACATATGTAATATATCTTCTGCTAGGCTAGAAAATTTACCATGTTACAATTATATAATGACCTCTACAAGTAATAGCCCTCATCTTAACGACCATGACATTGATCTACACTTACCGTGTGAAACAAACTTCAGCTATTCAGCTATTATATAAGTGAAGAAATTACAAATTTATTTTACAATAAGTCTTTTTCTGCTCTTCACCTCAATATTCGAAGTCTTTCTGCAAATTTTGACCCATTATGTACTCTACTGTCTAACCTAAACCACTCTTTTTTTCTGTAATTGGTTTATCTGAAACCAAAATTAAGCATGGTGGTGACCCCATTATTAATATTGATCTGCCGGGATATAATTTTATCTCACAACCAACAGTGTCAAATGCTGGAGGAGTGGGTTTTCATATAAAAACATCTGTTGCTTTCAATAAGAGAGAAGATCTATGCACCTCTGACAATGAACATGAATCTCTATGGATTGAAATTGAGCGTAATCATCAGCATGATATTATCTGTGGTGTGGTTTATCGACACCCAAATGCAAATATAAACATGACTATAAAATATATATATTCAATAATTGAAAAAATTCATAATGAGAATAAATACTGTATTATATATGGTGGGTGATTCCGGTACTGATGCTTTTATTAATACTTTGGGCTCTTATTATTTCCATCCACAAATTCTGAAACCTACAAGAATTACAGATTATACTGCAACTCTTAGTGATAATATATTTTTTAATTCTCTGAAGCATCTAACTCTTAGTGGTAATATATTAAGTGATATTAGTGACCACCTACCAAATTTTCTCATTATTAACAAGATATCTGAACTAGAATTATTTGAGGCCGATGTTTCTAACATTGATTGGCATAATTTACTGCCAAATGACAACAATATTAATAATTTATTTCGATCATGTCATTCTGAGATTTTGAAGGGTGTTGACAGACATGCACCTGTAACTAGAATTTCTAGAAATGAGGTTAAAACTATGTCAAAACCGTGGATTACTTCTGGTATTAGAAAATTAATTAAGAGGAAAAATAAACTTTATAAAAAATATTTATCAACAAAAAATGAATATTATAGATCTAAATACAAGTTCTATCGAAATAAATTAAATCATTTGCAACGTATTAGTAAAAAAATCTACTATGAGAATTACGTTACTGCTAATAATAAGAATATCAAGAATACTTGGACGGGAATTAAATAACTTATTACTTTGAAACCTAGGGGACATAGCTTACCCACAAAAACTATAAAGGATGGCCAGGAGATAAAAGATACTAAGAATATATCCTTGGCATTCAATGAATACTTTTCTAATATTGGAAAGAACATTGCAGATTCTGTTCCATGCACTAATACAAGGACACAAGCTTTTATGGGTAGTACTGTGCCAAACAGCTTCTTTATGTCTCCTATTCTAAAAAGTGAAATTGAGTTTGAAATTGGAAAACTTAAATCTTCCAAAGTAAACAGGCCCTTTTAGTATTCCAATTAATTTTCTAAAAACAGCTAAATCTAGCCTGTCTACTCCTCTTGAAATAGTATTCAATCTTTCCTTCCCGACTGGTACGGTTCCAGACCAATTCAAAATAGCGAACGTGATTCCAATTCACAAAAAAGGCCCACTGACTGTGTTAACAAATTATCGCCCAATCTCAATCTCTCCAGTTTTAGTAAAATTTTGGAAAAATTAATGTATACAACATTAACTAGATTTATTGATAAATATGAAATTTTACCTAACAAACAGTTTGGTTTTCGTTCTAAGCATTCAACGTTACAAGCAGCTCTTTCAATAACTGATAACATTCAACAAGCAATTGAGAAGGGATGGTATTCTTGTGGAATATTTTTAGATTTTTCCAAAGTATTTGACACTGTAAACCATGACATCCTTCTCAACCAGCTTGATCATTATGGAATAAGAGGTTTGGCTTACGATTGGTTTTCCTCGTATTTAAGTAACAGACGCCAATTTGTTTCAATCGGGCATATCAAATCCGATGAAACTCCAATTAAATATGGTGTTCCACAAGGTTCAGTATTGGGTCCCCTTTTATTCCTCTTATATATTAATGACTTCCATAACTGCAGTGACATTTTCGAATTTAACATATTTGCAGATGACATTAATCTTTTTCATGCTAATGCAAATCTTGTTTATCTAGAAATAACTATTAATAGAAATTTGGAGAAAATTTTTGACTGGTTGGCAGCTAACAAACTGTCATTAAATATGGACAAAACAAACTTTGTTTTGTTTCATACCCCTCAGCGAACTCCAAACCACGTGATTGCTTTATTTATCAACAATAGTCAAATTAAACAAGAAAATATATCAAATACTTAGGAATTTTCCTTGACTCAAACTTACGTTGGAAAAGTCACATTACTCATATATCAAACAAAATTAAACGCTGCATTGGTATAATCTCAAAAATTCGCAATTTCGTGGGTTTACATATATTTAAACAATTATACTATACTCTCATTTATCCATATTTGACGTACGCTTTACCAGTGTGGGGTAATACATATCAATCTAATCTTGATACTTTAATAAGGTTGCAGAAAAAGGCAGTCAGAATTATGACTTTCTTCAGTTTTAGGACACACTCAACCCCTCTTTTCAGACATTGTGACATACTTAAATTTGTCGATTTAATATATTATCAGAATGCTCTATTCATGTTTGACTTCCACGTGGGTAATTTACCCGCTGTCTTTGATAATTTCTTTCAAAATGTTTCCGAAGTACATAATTATAACACTAAATCGTCTACAAAATTTTATTATATATTCCAAAAATTCGGACAGATTATGGTCGGTTTAATCTGCGCTACTGTGGTAGTTTAATCTGGAATTCCATTGATAGTAAATTGAAATCTCTAAGCAAATATAACTTCAAAAATTATTTAAAAACTCTCTACTTCAAGCTTATAATGACTAAATTCGGTTTCCATTTGTGATATTTTTTATGATATATTCTTTTGCGTCTATTGTACTTTGTCTTTGCCTTAATGCATGTGATTTGATTATATACAGTATATACATTTCGTCTTTCGCTTGTGTCTTTTGTCTAAATGTGCTACTTAGCTTGATTAGCCCTTATGGTTATTTCTTTGTAGCCTTTACTCCATATTTGTGTAATGTATTTTGTTGTAAATTATTGTATCACCTGAGAGTATTAAATTATATATGTTGTTGTTGTTGTTGTTATTGGACGCTATCGTGCCTAAGCCCCAGCGCGGCCAACAACGCAAACCCAAAAACGTGCGAAACCGAAACCGAAATCGCAGGGCCATAGGTTTAATTCCTACCAGAGGACCTTGTACTGCATTTTTGCAGTTGTTCTTGGTCAGGTCTTAAAGTATATATATATATATACTCACTTGGATTACAAATCCTAACAATACCAATCGAAAATAAAACCATAGGCTACTTGAAATATTAAAAAACTTCGTTTAATCGTTTTATACGTTTCTGATATCTTTAAATACATAATAAAAGAATTATTGGAGTCGGCTTTCGCATGGCATCAATAATTATTCAGACCTCGGTCTGAATAGTTCTTGATGTCATACTCAACCTCATTCTCGTTACCTGAGCCATTTTTACTCGGTCACTCATAGAAGATTAGGCTATGGGTTAGATGAACTAAGGGAGAGATAAGATTGGCTTCTCAGAGAACAGATATTTCACAGAAGTTGAGCAGTTTTCGCCAGCCAAAATTATTATATCAAAATAACTTACTTCGTTTCTTCGTAATTCTTCTTCGTGAAAATTGTTACGCGTGCTACAAAGAGTCGAAATCAGGGCGAAGGGAGAGAGGGCGTAAAAACGGCAATACATCGAGCGTCCCCATCCGTGATGCGGGCTTCGCGGGGGGTAAGACGTTCTAATTGTAAACAAATATGGCTACGCGTATATGACCCATCAGAAGGTATGCTGAAACTATTGCTTCATAAAATATTACTTGTGTAAAATTTATATGTTTTTGTTACTTTTAGCTATTATAATTAATTTAACTTAAAGATAAGATTTAAGTAACGAAAAACTTTATTTCGGGTGTTATTTTATTTCTATACTCTGTTTAATTTGGTGGTTAAAAATGGCCGTCGAAATGTTGTAAGAGAGTGTTAGCGCGCACTGCTTCCTGATAAAAAAACCAATGATTTCCAAAACCTAAATTATAGTTTGTTATTAAGTTATGCTGAAAACCTTTGCGTAGACAAAATTATAGAGTGATCAAACATGAGGCAGGTAGGTTTTGAACCTTTCAAAGTTCGAGGTCGAATTGACAGTTGAAATAGTACCAAACTTCAAGCTGAAATGTGCAACTTTATCATGTATATTTTTGTCAATTTTGTTCACTGGCCTTTGTTAAATTCACTTGCAATGGCTCGACATACGTTACAACATACAAACTGAGCAGAGCCCATGAAAAAGCTATCCATATCCCTACAGTCATGCAATTATCCCTACAGTCATGCAGCCTTGCTATTAGAAGTGGTTGCCCATTAATAGTTGAAGAAGAATTGCTATTGTATGCGCTTGTTTGCAATTTCTTTCCTGAAAAAGGCTACAATATTAAGGCTAAATAGCAGAGAAATATGAGCCAATAATCCACGCAATTAAAAATATCTATCAAATTAACTTAAAAAATCATGATTTGAGGAATTATATCTATTCAGGCAACCCATAATTTAGTGACAGGTCTTGGCAAGGTGAAAGCTGAAAGCTGAAGATGGGTTGACTACAAAACTATATTGACTGAAGTTTTGGAAACATTTAACTAAATTTTGAAGGATTGACTCGCAAACTGTGATTCAGTTTCTGGATAAGTTGTGGCTCTGTTAGTGCCATTTCTTTCATTGTTTATATATCTTGCTTTTATTAGCATTGCTCACTTATAAAATCTTTCAATTCCTTAGGGACTGTTTATATGATCCCGCCTAGACGGTACGGGATGTTTTCATCCTGCCAAGACAGGATACTCGCCTAGTGTTTATATGGACAAAATACATTGCCAGGATGAAACCATTCGGTGCTTGACGTCATATTTTTGTTGCAATAAAGGCATTTACGCATGCCCAAAAGGGAAAAATTCATCCCGCCTAACCATGATGAAGTGTTTATAAGGGAATTTTTCATTCCAGCTAGGCAGGGTGAAGTGTTTATATGGGAATTCTTCATCTCGCTTAGGCGAGATTCCGGCATCTGTTGCTGAGATCCAGTCTAGGCGGGATAAGTGGCTGGATCATACAAACACTCTTTAGCATTGGTAATACGAGCGGGATCTCGGTAAGCATCCCGTCCCGCCTGGCCGGGAACATATAAACGGGACCCTAATCTCATCCAATGATACTGAATCACAGCTTCTAAGGCCATGTTTACATGAGACAAGGATGAAACCAAACTGGAATGAAAATTGAAATTGCAGGTCAACATGTTTACATGAGACCAGTATGAGAATCACAAAATTTTCAATTTATTCTCCTTGTCAGGCAATTAGATGACTTTTGTTAGCATGTGTTGTTCACTTGTTCCAATGTCAACATTCATTCCAGTCTGAATTCATACTGGTCTGAGTCAGTCGGCTTGGTCGAGCAGGCGGAATGACTTGAGACCTCATGTAAACATCTATTATATATAATATAGTGACCAAAACGAAATGGTCCCGGTTAATTGACTTCGTTCCAGTCTCATGTGAACTTGACCTAAAAAAATCCTTCAAAAGTTGGCTAAATTTTTCCAAAACTTCAGTCAATATAGTTTTGTAGAACACCAATCCCAAGATTGTACAGGGTTGCCTGAATAGATATAATTCCTCGAATCATGATTTTTGAAGTTAATTTGATAGATATTTTTAATTGCATGGATTAATATTGTAGCTTTTTTCAGGAAAGAAAATGTAAACAAGCGCATACAATAGCAATTCTTCTTCAACTATTAATGGGCAACCACTTCTAAATAGCGAGGAAACTGCATGACTGTAGGGATATGGATAGCTTTTTCATGGGCTCTGCTCAGTTTGTATGTTGTAACGTATGTCGAGCCATTGCAAGTGAATTTAACAAAGGCCAGTGAACAAAATTGACAAAAATATACATGATAAAGTTGCACATTTCAGCTTGGAGTTTGGTACTATTTCAACTGTCAATTCGACCTCGAACTTTGAGAGGTTCAAAACCTATCTGTCTCATGTTTGCTCACACTATAATTTTGTCTACGCAAAGGTTTTCATCATAACTTAATAACAAACTATAATTTAGGTTTTGGAAATCATTGGGTTTTTTATCAGGAAGCAGTGCGCGCTAACACTCTCTTACAACATTTCGACGGCCATTTTTAACCACCAAATTAAACAGAGTATAGAAATAAAATAACACCCGAAATAAAGTCTTTCGTTACTTAAATCTTATCTTTAAGTTTCTTATAATAGCTAAAAGTAACAAAAATATATAAATTTTACACAAGTAATATTTTATGAAGCAATAGTTTCAGCATACCTTCTGATGGCTCATATACGCGTAGCCATATTTGTTTACAATTAGAACGTCTTACCCCCCGCGAAGCCCGCATTACGGATGGGGACGCTCGATGTATTGCCGTTTCTACGCCCTCTCTCCCTTCACCCTGGTCGAAATTCAAGAGTATGCGCTATAGAAACTACTGCAAGTTTTCTTGCACTTCCGATTCCACGTATCCCATGGCCTATAATGGCCGCGCTCGGCCGAGAGGTCCTGGGAACAAGGAAGGCTAAGCCTCATCCAATGCTTGTTTGTTATCTGAATACCATAGATAATTGGAGGATTTAAATTGATCGGAAATGAAGATTCGCTTAAACATAAACATATACATTATTGAATATCCTGCATATACTATGAGTAACAGCTGAAAACAAGCTAGAACCTCTTCATTAACGTAATGTCATTAATAACTGCAGCACTTACTTAAACTTTAGATCTGTCCAAAGCCAAGTCTCTGGGAAGTACTTACGAACTTTCACTGGTACCTCTTCTGGCATAATTTCTTCGAATTTGACGGAAGTGCTTGCATTGGGTGCGACTTGGGTGGGTCCAGTGTAGTTCTGCGACACTTTATCAATATTAAAAAAAAAACAGTCACATTCCAAAAGTTTGAGCTTGATTGTTAAATGTCAAGTAATCACGAGCACTTACACGTCTACGGAGTGAAATCTATTTATTAAATCAGTATAAGAAATAGAATGGTGCCATATATATATATATATATATATATATATATATATATATATATATATATATATATATATATATATATATATATATATATATATATATATATATAATATATATATAATATATATATAATATATATATAATATATATATCATATATAAAAAAAAATTTTCACCCACTGAAGAAGCCTTAACCGGCGAAACGTCTGGGTTATAGTCATTATACCTTTTTATGCCTGAGGAAGTTCTTGTTTTATTTTAATTTTTAAAACACCATTCACATTGAAACCAGGCATGGCAACCATAACGCTTTCATATATATATATATATATATATATATATATATATATATATATATATATATATATATATATATATATATATATATATATAAGTACAGACGGTTCCGTTTCGACCTTATGGGCCTCATCATTGTAGTGCTGATGAGCAGGATGAAAGTAACTGCTATTTACTGTTACCTTTGATGCCTCACGATTGTGGGACATCAAAATTGATTCTGGGACATTTTCGTTTTACCTCAAAACAACCACAACAGTCAGTTCCATCCTCATGCGTATAGGAATCATCAGGTGGTGAGTAATTTCGAAAATATAGGTTACTTTTATGCTATTGAAAGAATGCGCGGAATGCTTGTAGGCGAAACAATGCTTAGGCGAAACAATTAATGCATAGGCGAAACAGTGCTCAGGCGAAACAATGCTTGGGTCATTAAATTTTTCTTAACGATCTTGTTTACTCGAAACCGGTTTTTGTGACGACACTGCTGTAACTCTTACACAAAATTTTCGAGCAATTTGACCTGAAAATCACCGCCGATGTAAATTTGAACGTTGTAATTTTTTTAGATGTTACTTTCGACCTGACTGAAAAACGAAAAACACAAACCATACAGGAAACCCAATGACGATCCATTCTACATCAACAAGTATTCAAACCATCCACCAAGCATTACAAAACAATTACCTACGGCCATCAACAAACGCATTGTACGTCTCTTATCAGACGAACAAACAGTTAACGAATCTACGCCTATCTACCAGCCCGCCCTTAGACATAGTAACTTTGATCACGAATTTACGTACACTCGCAACGCAACATAATTTGGTTCAACCCACCATTTAGTAAGAGTGTTATCTAGAACATAGGATGGGAAATATTAAGTTTAATTGACAAACACTTTCCACTACCGCACAAACTACACGAGATTTTCAACAGAAACACTTCAAAAGTAAGCTATGGTTGCATGAACAACGTTAAGTTTATAATTACCAAACACAACGCACGTACGTATAATTAGGAACAGCCAGTCACCAAATATGGAAACTGGCAATTGTAACTGCGACAACAAAAACGCTTGTCCACTACCGAAACAATGTATGACTAACAACTTTATTTACAAAGCCACAGTCACAACGAACAACACGAACGAAACTAAACGCATAATGCGCATAATAATCGCATAATAATGATGGATTCGATGGATTCTAAGAACTAAAGTTGGTGAGCTGTCATATGAAGACAGGCTGAAATCTCTAAACCTATTGCCACTAACTTATGATCGAGAAATCAGAGATCTTGTGTTGGTTTATAAATGTATTTTTGGTCATACCGATTTAAACATTAATCAACTTTTAACCTTCGTAGAGCACAATCGATCTCGCGCACAAAATCCAGCCCTAATGTTAAAACACTCCTGCTGCAAAACATCCACCTTTCAGGCATCGTTTTTTAATAGAATAGTAAAGCCTTGGAACTATATATGTAAAATAGCCTCTCCAGAAAAGTTTCCCAATGTAAATATTTTTAAAAGCTTTTTGCACAAGACATACACCGCCATGGTGAACAGTACTTTTAATGTAGATATGACATGTACTTGGTCGCTCATAAGAGACTGCCCTTGTCACCGTACTTAAGTCCTAAGTTATATATGTATATATTCTGTATAGTAAATAAGTTTGTTTTCACTAGTTTAGTTTAGGGGTGGCGCCCTGCATGGGTCTCGTTGTCTCGTTTGCGCTAGCCCCATTGGACGTATACCCTGTAGTATTTGTTTGTATAATAATATGTAACCTTTTATATGTATGTCCAATAAAGCTGTTAAAAAAAAAAAAAATAATAATAATAATAATGCGCGTAATAATGCGCGTAGTAATGCGCATGCATCGGCAAACATGGCGGACATTAAATTTGTTGTTCTTGTGAAATTGATAATATTTTAGTCAATATTATCGTTTTTTATATTTTTGACAGTATTTCTTGTGAGTAGTATGTTATTGTGTTTTACAATGCCAGAATATTTAACAGCAGATCAATTAAAACAAATGCTGGATGAGAAACTGGACCAGAAGCTCATACCATTGAATATGAAAGTTTCAGAACTCAGTATACCAAACTTGAAGATGCGATGCAATTCATTTATCTGGCTTACACCAAGTAATAAAGAAGTAATTACGAAACTCAATTCTCGCGAAATAGCGCGAGAATTGGGATACAGCAAGAAAACAAGATTTTAAATTAAAGAGTGCTTTACAACAAACTGATAGCCAACTGCTTCAATTAAAAAACACATACGATGACCTTGAACAATACTCTCGCAGGGAGTGTGTAGAAATTCAAGGTAGGCTATACCAGCCCCTGACTGATGATATTGTAATGAAAATTGCCAGCAAATTTACGGATATTGATATCACCGAGAAAGATGTATCTGTGAGCCATCCTTTACCTGTGAATAAAGGATACAAGGGGAACAGACTTGAACCTGCAATTATCGTAAAATTTGTTCGTCGAGATACTAAAGTTGCATTTTATCGATTTATTATATATATATATATATATATATATATATATATATATATATATATATATATATATATATATATATATATATATATATATATATATATATATATATATCAATGAAAGCCTTACTGAAATGAATAAATCTTTATTTAACTGTTGTCTAAAGACCAAGAAAGATCTTAATTAAAAATACGTTTGGACCTCAAACGGTAGAATCTACTTAAGGAGGAATGAAGAAAGTCAAATGATCTATATCAAGAATGAAGGTCAACTTACTAAGCTGTTGAGCTAAGTACAAATTGAATAATTATTTTGTTTGATGTGTGACTCAAGTGTGAATTGTGGTAGATGCTTAACATCTACTTCTATATCTCATATTGATAACAGATTACTGGAACTTAAAGATCTACCTTGTCTTGATATTGCATCACCCATAACTAATACACCTCATTTAAATGACCTAGATATTGATTTAAACTTGCCCTAGGATAATAATTTTGCCTATTACTCTACTCATAATTGCCATAATAAAGGCCAATTTCAAAATTGACCTTTTGAAAGCAAATTTAAATATTGCTTCAGACAACTTTCTAAATTCTCTAGGTTCTTATTTCCTTCAACCACAAATATTACAACCACAAATATTACAACCGACTAGAATAACTAACCACCCCTCGACATTGATTGATAATATATTTTTTACTTCAATCCAACACTTTGTCATTAGTAGTAATCTGGTCTATTATTTGACTGATCATTTCCCTAATTTTATCATATTTAATAAATTTTCGTCTCTTCCCTCAAATGTTAAAATCTATAAGAAATTTTACTCATTGTTTAATGAACCAGATCTAATAAATGAACTTCAATCTATCAATTGGCAAACAGTATTTGCTTCGAATAGTGATCCATCTCTAATGTTTGATAATTTTCACGCTAAGATAACTGAAACAATTGATAAACATATTCCTATAAAACAATTATCTAGAAATGAAATAAAGTTAAAATCCAAACCATGGATAACACGTGCAAATCAAAAATCAATTCATGTTAAAAACAAATTATACAGTAAATTCCTGAAAACAAAGTCCTTTTATTATTATTTAAAAAAAAAAAAAATTTTATAGAAACAAATTAAACCATATTTTGAAGATTAGCAAAAGAAACTACTACAATGACTATTTTATACAAAACATCCACGATACAAAGAGAGTATGGAAGGGCATCAAACAAATAATACACTCCAAACCTAAAGTGAGCCAGGGAATTAACAAAATTCTTGAGGGAAATAGAGAGGTAACAGATCCAATGGCAATTACAAATGTTTTCAATATTTTTTTTGCTAACATCGGAAATAGTTTGGCCTCTTTAATACCAAATGTTGAAAAGTCGCCTTTTGATTATCTCGCTACTTCTCCATGTGATAGCTTATATATTTCTCCAGTTACTTCGGAGGAGATTTTAAATGAAATTTCTATATTACAACTCGGAAAGGCTACTGGTCCATTTAGTATACCAGTGTCAATTCTGAAAATCCTTGAAACAGTGATATCGAAGCTATTGTAAATTTTATTTAATGTTTCTTTCTCAATAGGCGTTGTACCAAGAATTTTAAAATAGCAAATGTTCTACCGATTTATAAGAATGGATCTCAAACTAGTACTTGTAATTATCGTCCAATCTCTCTTCTTTCAGTATAGTGAAAGAGCTCTTAGAGAAACATATGTCAAATAGGCTGCTTGATTTTATCCAACGTATAGCAATTTTGTTTGATAATCAATTCGGATTTCGTGCTGAACACTCTACTGACTTTGCCGTTCTTAGTATAATTGATAAAATACAAAAAGCAATTGATGAACAAGATTTTTCTTGTGTAATATTTTTAGATCTTAGCTAAGCCTTTGAAACAGTAAATATAAACTGTTTTGTTCGTTTCTTTTAATAATATCAACCCATACTATACAATGTAATGTTTATTTTTCGGTTATTCTGAAGATGTTGATGCTGTAGACGCCGCTGTGGTCATGATCTTCGATTTGATGTTTTTTTTGTTCGCTGTCGTTTTTCAGTTCATTGATTGCTTTCTTCTTCCTACATACAGTTTCATAGTGGCCAATTGCATCACAGAAGTTACATAGTCATTGTGACATAGTGAGTGTCAGGATAAGTGATTTTTAATCCTCGTCGCCAAATATAAACTTGTTTGTTCGTTTCTTTTAATAATATAAACCCATAGTATACAATGTAATGTCTCTCCGTCCTTTCCCGCCCTTTTTAACTATCACCTATCGCTCATGCCGTCCCGCTTTGTCCAACATTAACACAATATATACATATACATCAACAGTCAATCATGAAATCTTAATAAAAAATTAGAACATTATGGAATACGGGGTGTAGCTAAACATTGGTTTTAATCCTATCTTAGAGGCCGCTATCAAACAGTTACAGTAAATAATACTAAGTCTTCGACTAATATTATTTCTTGTGGTGTACCACAGGATCCGTTCTTGGTCCAATTTTGTTTGTTTTGTATGTCAATGATTTTCATCACAGTTGTAACCTTTTCGATTTTCATTTATTTGCCACGATGCAAATTTGTTCTACCGACATAAAAATATTAATATTTTGCAATCAGATGTTAATACCGAATTAAATAGTATTAATGTCTGGCTATGTGCCAATAAGTTATCGCTCAATGTAGAAAAATCAAATTTAGTCCTTTTTCATCCATCACAATGAAAAATAGGTATAAATTTTCAATTAAGTATAAATGACAAGATTATTAAACAATGCTATTCGCTTAAATGTCTAGGCATCCTGATTGACTCTAACCTTGGTTGGAAATCCCAAATTTAATGTATTGCTAAGAAAAATAAGGGAAGTGTAGGCATTCTATCTAAATTACGGTAATATGTCCACACTAACATTCTGATTAATCTTTATTATACTTTAATTTATCCATTATTAATATACGGTATAATCGTCTGGAGTAATACTTACCCCACTACAATACAACCACTTTTTGTTTTACAAAAGAAGGCCATGCGTATTATATTTTTTTCTGAATATAACGAACATTTAAGTTCATTGTTTAAGTTATTAAATATAATCAAGATCTTTGATTCGGTAAATTTCCATATGTATAAATTCCACCATCGACTATTGCCCTCAGCTTTTGATAACTTTTTCACTCCAATAGATAGAATACATAATTATAATACAAGATTGGCATCAAAACAGAGTTATTACCTTCCTAAAGCAATAACTAATTATGGTTTATTCAATATAAGATTTCAAGGAACCAAAACATGGAACTCCATGGAAAAAAATGTAAACTGTTTTCTTTTTCAAAATTCAAAAATAAACTAAAAAGTGATATATTGCATAAATATTAAACATTTTATTCACAGTAAAATGTTTCTTCTTCTTGCTATATAAGTTAATAAAGTGTTCTGATCCTTTTCCTTCATCATAACTCCAAATTAAAATCTACTGGTATTGTATTATTATAATATGTTGCAATTGTAAATTGTATTTAATTTATTATTAGTGTAGATCTGTGTGTAAGTCTGTTTTCTGTTACTGCTAGTGTCATGTTGTACCTAATTTCCGATTATATAAGTTATTTAAATATTTTTGCGAACTGGCTTCCTGGCATTTTTAGCCATCTTAGGTTATTTCGGGAAGCCAGTACCCTACCTTTATTATGATCAATTTGCCATACAAATCATGCAGTATTTTAACAAATGGGTACAATAAAAGTGTATTGTATTGTATTGTACTGTACTGTACTGTACTGTACTGTACTGTACTGTACTGTACTGTACTGTACTGTACTGTACTGTACTGTACTGTACTGTACTGTACTGTGCTGTGCTGTACTGTACTGTACTGTACTGTACTGTACTGTACTGTACTGTACTGTACTGTACTGTACTGTACTGTACTGTACTGTACTGTACTGTACTGTACTGTACTGTACTGTACTGTACTGTACTGTATTGTATTGTATTGTATTGTATTGTATTGTAAACACTACATTCTTCAAAATGTTTAGGAACGAACTTTCCCTAAGTCTCATGTTAATAGTATATTTTGTGTTCAATATATAGACCACAGTAAGACTTTTTTTAAATGTTTATTTCATTAACAAACGACGTTTCGGAGATTTACTCCATCTTCAGGTAGTAGGATTACATTTTGAATTTAAACTAACATGCGCATGCATAAACGTTAAATTGCGACCGTTATTCGCGCGTGCGAAATTGCGTAAGCATATAAATTACGTGCACGTGTCCGATTAATTCTAATAAAAATTAGAAATTGTTAATTCTGTCTTAAATGTTTAAACTACGAAGTCTAAGACATTTAACTGTTCGTATTTTCCAGTCAAGTCTGGATTAAGCTTTTGGATGAATAATGCTTCGGTAATTTTCCGTTCTACAGATCCTTTTGTTCTTTTTAAAATCTTAACAGACAGTTTCGGTTTTTGTCCGTAATGTTGGTCGAGGTAGTGTTTTGAGAAAGCCATGTTTTTATAGGACTTTGTTTTCGGGTTTGCTGCGGAACGAAAATGTTCTTGGTATCGAACCACCAATGGTCTGCCTGTCTCGCCTACGTACGTTGCTCCACAAAGGTCACAGTTGATTTGATACACGACATCTTTCTGTGTACACTGAACGGGAGCATTTGAGTTGCTGCAGATTGGGCATTTAGAGGTGTCTGTGCATACTTTATCGTAAGGTCGCGATTCTACGAGGAGTTGTTTAAGCGAGCTTTGTGGTCTTTCAACTATTCTGACATTGAGGTTTGAACTCTGGGCCGCTCTTCGGATGTCAGTCGTAAAGCTTCTGGAAATGAATGGAATTGTGAATGTGGGAAGAGGTTCGACTTTCGATTTTGGCAGTTTTCGTTTTGTTGTCTGGACTTTTTTTATATAGTTGTTGCTATAGCCGTTTCGTCTCGCTCTTCTTTCAAACTTCCGTTCAGCTTCTTCAAACAAGGCGTCGGTTGAACATATGGAAGTATATGTCTTGATGGTGTTACCGATAGCGGCCCGTTTGATTTGTTCTCGGTGGTGTGATTTTGCATTAAACATTATTCCTTTGTTTGCCGATTTTGTATGCCATCCCGTCTCCACTGTTCCAGATTCGTTCACCTTGACTTTTGTGTTGAGGAATGGGAGGAATCCATCTTCACCTGGCAACTCGATTTCGAATCGTATTGATGGGTCTTGTGAGTTAAGCTTGTCTTGGATCTTTACAGCTTCATCTGGACCGCTAGCAGGTGTAATACAATCATCAATATATCGATAATACAAGGGAAGGGAAAGAGCCTGGTCGGAATAGATTGCTTGGTTTTCTATTCTGTCCATGAAGAGTATAGCGAGTATTGGGGCTAACCGGTTTCTCATAGCCAGACCTCGACGCTGTTGATAATAAGATCGTTTCCAAGAGAGACAGTTCTTTTCGAAGATAGCTTTGGTGAGTAGAATGATGTCAGATACCGAAAATTGATGTTGGATGTTGTTCTTTTCTTTCTCTAGATATAAACGTAAGGTATCAATTGCTGCGTCGTTATCTACGCTTGGATACAAGGAAACCACATCTAGACTGAACAGGAGCTTGTTCTTCAGCTCTCCATTCTTAATGCTTCGTAGATTATTCAATAGGTGTTGAGTGCTTCTAAGATGTGCTTTCACGAACTGCAGGAGAGGGTTGCATATCATTTGTATGAGCCAGGAGACCTTATCGGCAGGACCACCACAACCAGAGATTATTGGTCGTACTTTGATGTCATCAGGGTTAGAACTCGGTATATTGTTCTGGAATTTGTGAGTTTTGGTTAGCAGGTAGATAACAGGACAAACACTGTGGGTCGTTTTTAATCTTCCAATGGATCTTTCGTTAACACGATTTTTTTTTGCAACGTATTCCCAAACTTCGTTGATCTCCTCTTCAGCTTTCTTCGTTAAATCATGGCATGGTCGGTAAAGTGATTCATTTCCAAGGTGTTTCTCCATTAATGTGTTATCTAGATTACTGTTCATTACCACGAATTCGCCACCTTTATCGCTCACCGATATTCTAACTTCTCGGGCTTTCTTAAGTGTGGTTAATTCGGACAGGGTTTCTCTTTGGTTTCTGGTGAGGTTGGGAGGAAGAGAACGTGACTTGTGTTTATTGATTACTTTCTTGACTTTGTGTTCCGAAACGTCGTTTGTTGATGAAATAAACATTTAAAAAAAGTCTTACTGTGGTCTATATATTGAACACAAAACACTACATTGGTATGACAGCGCTACATTTAAGGAACGTTACGCTAACCACACTTTTCATTTCTTCGTCATAAAAAAAAAGACTCAAACAAAACCGAACTTTCGAAACATATTTGGAAATTAGAAGAAAACAATCAGAATTATACCATCAAATGGGCAATTTTAAAACACGCTATTTCGTATACAAGTGGATCAAAACACTGCAATTTATGTTTGGAAGAAAAATTTTGCAATTTGAGAGACATAAACAAAGTCAATTTACTCAATAAAAGAGGCGAAATTTTCGGCAAGTGTCGTCAGAAAAACCGGTTTCGAATAAACAAGATCTTTAACAAAATATAATGACCTATATATATATATATATATATATATATATAGATTGTCTATATCTTAAAATTAAATATCGCTACTTCCACGTCCTTTCTAGACGATCATCAGGCGATTTTTCAAAATCGCCTGATGATCGTCTAGAAAGGACGTGAAACTCAGAGTAGCGATATTTAATTTGAAGATATAATCTAATAAGCTCTGCTATACTTTTAGTATTGAGCACTTTGTATATCTATACAACCAAAATAAATTGAATTATACATATATATATATATATATATATATATATATATATATATATATATATATATATATATATATATATATATATATAATTACTATTCTTACTTAAAAAAAAACATTTTAAGTAAGAATAGTAATTACATTCGCTCTACAAAATTTTATGTATTGAGCACTCTCTTCACTATACGTTACAAAACTTGTGATATATATATATATATATATATATATATATATATATATATATATATATATATATATATATATATAAAAAATTCAATTTATTTTGGTTGTGTAGATATACAAAGTGCTCAATACTAAAAGTATAGCAGACCTTATCAAATTCATAGTGATAGTGATATATATATATAAAATAAACAGGTTATCGTAATTTAGACGAGGCAAATATTATCGCCTTTATCACTCGCACGACGATAGCACTATGATATCGTCTTTAATTTATTGCACAACGATCGTTGTCATCTCGTGACATTTTGATTGAGATGCCCAATAGCGATTATTCCTCATTTGCACTGTAATGAAGGAAATCATGCATTCATTTCAAGTATCTTACTTGGTGTAGGTAATCCAGATTGCGATCTGTAATATGACATACCCCATGGCCGGCCACGTGGACCCCCAAAACAACCCCACCGTCTCCCATACCCACCATACCAACTGCGTCGGCCCCATGGGCGTGGTCTCGATCGGCGTGGAGGCGGTGTAGGTGGTGAGCGACATGGTTTAGTAAAAATGTTTAAATTCGTCAGAAATATGACGCCAGCATTCTATAATAAATATGATAGGAAGTTAAAGCGGGTCCCTTTCCATGATTTTATCCAGGAATGGATACACATGATTAGATTTCGGTATATCAACCTCGGGGATGACTCGGTAATAAAAGTAAAAACAACGCAATTGTTCTCGTAGATAAAGATTAAATCGTCGCGAAAACATTTTGTATCGAGCAGTAAAATTGGCAAAGCTCGCCTGCAGTCCCGGAGGGAAATAAACTCATGCATTAGGTAGAGAGACGACTGGACTCCTGGACTCAATATGTTAAATTGGTTACCATTTTATAAAGAAAGTATCGTAAAGCGAAACACATTAGTTTCTAAGAGGATAAACAGTCAATATTACGTTCAGGAGTACTTACGCTCTTCGTTATAGTAAGAAATTGTGATCTTCATTATAGGGTCACTCGCCATTGTGGTCTTAATTTGGTGTGTGCAAAGTACAAGCGAGAAACAGAAGGAATCCCCACCTTTGTTGTAAGGCTACCAAAGAATAGAATGCTTTAGACAATCCATTACGCAGCCAAAAGTCCGTAGCTAAGTTCAAACAAATGTTAGATGCGCAATTGTTGCAGGAACAAAAGACGACTATGCAACTATAAATATAATGTTGTATAATATTTTATTATAACTATGTTAGTACTATTTTACTGACTTTTAATGACTTATTGACAGATATCCGTTAGGAAGATACTATACTGTACATTGTTACATTAATTATTTCTTGTTTATAGTCGTAATATAGTTTACGGGGGCCACTAATTTATCAGTAGCTCATGCTCATTGCCATGTGTTACCCTCGGTAAATGAAGTCAATGAAATGAAATGAAGGTGTGATTTCAAATCCCGGTTGGAACTTTCTTAACTTAATTCGGCACTGTATGAAATCATGTTCGACATCTGCTCTGCTATTTCTCTGAGGATAATTCTGGACAACAATTTTGCAATATAATGTTTTTCATGTCACTCTGAGTATATATCCACACCGGGCAGACTGAAAAGCTAGCCCGATTACGGTGGGAATCAAACCCGCGACCTCTGAGTAACACGAAAAACATTATATTCACCTGAGTACATAAACTCAAAACACACACAAAAAATATAATTTTGCAATATGTCAACAAAATATTTGTAATTGAAACAATCCTCGACTGAACGATCATTTCACAAATTACATTATAGGAAGAAAATCTATTTGGATGGCCGAGACAGTGACGACAATTATAACGAATGAGATATAGTTTAAGTGCTAGCGGGGCGGCGGATGGCCGATTTACATAATGCGATCGAACGTTAGAGTTACTTGATCTGATGACTCAGGGGCGGATCCAGCTAAAAATCTGACTGTAGCATAATCCCAAAAATGAGGAGGCACCACGTAATCTAGGGGGGTCCGGGGGCATGCCCCACCTGGAAAATTTTTGAAAATTGAACCCCGGAAACACCATTTCCTTCCTGCATTCTGAGCATCGAATTCTGTCCTAAAATTTGACCTTAATAAGGCCATATTTTAGACAAAAAGTTACAAAAACACATAAAGACAGGAAAATGTTTAAATTAAACAACCAAATCATGCCAGATCTACAAATTACTGTATGCAAAGTTTAAAACAGCCTTCCTCCCCATATTAATATGTAATTTAATATCATACCGAACATGTGTAACATATATCAACACAATTACAATCAATGCATAAAATCAATGGGCAGATAGATATATAACGCAAACAGGCACATTTATATACTGAAAGAAACCTTCGGACTAACGGAGATTCAACCACTTAAATATACAAGCCAAATTTCGAGGTTTTGCTGGTATTTTCCAGTTATGGTTTTGCTTGTATATTTTAGCAATTCAGTAACGTACCCTTTCAATCCGAAGCTTTTTGTTGTTATCATTTACCAGTCTGGAAAGTTTGTATCGCGCGGCGGAATATCGGCCAACGGCCGCGCAATTTTGATGCTTTCTATATATTTACTATCAAATTTTCGAAATCTCCAGCGCGCAATTTCCAAACACTGGCACGGAGCGTTTGAGATTACATTTATATTCTGTTTATTAATATATTCTAATACTCATGAGCTTACCTGACCCGAACGTGGTTCAACGAGCGCGCTCTTTTACTTGAATTGTAATTTCGAAAAATCACACACAAATACCTCGCAATCTTTCGGGCGAATGGCCTTAACTTTGCTCCCGATGGCATCCTCACATAGCGCTTTAGTCTACTTAGGTTTTCCTCGAAAGAATTGGCTCGGTGAAAGCGCAAACAAATATAGCGAAATAACATCGCTCTAAAGTTCCTATCGAATTGCGCAACTGTAGCTGACTGTAGCGCATTGCAGCGCTGTGATTGGTTTGCTTCATCTGACTGTAGCAAAAATGCTAAATTTAGTAACTCGTCCCCCCGCTGACTGTAGCATATTGACGTAAGACCCCCAGGTGACTGTAGCATTTTGACGTCATAAATCGCTATATTTAGACCACTTTTCTGAACGCTTTTTGAACGATGTTTTAAAAATTTAGGTGATTTCCCCTAAAAGCGGGCGTTGTTTTGGGTAAAATTCAGGTTAAGATAAGCGCGTAAAAACGTAACTTAATATTCGTAGCTCACAAAAAACGTACGGACATCTGGTGGACGCTGCGGAAGTTAATTTTTTTGAGATGGAGAAACTGGAAAACTTCTATAAGAAATTTTTACTATCACCACATTCAGTATTAAAAATATTTTTGCAGAAAAATCTGACTGTAGCATTTGCTACAGTTGCTACAGTCTGGATCCGCCCCTGTGATGTTACCTGTCCAGGCAGTAATGATTATTGTTTGCTGTTTTCACTGTTGTACAAAAACGTCCGAGGATTTACGGAATATTAACCAATGAAAGTGCTAAACGACAAGGGGTCATTGTGCCAAATGGACCAATGCCCTTTTGCGTTTGTCGCAATGGCTACTTGGATATGAGGTACTGAATGGCTGTACAATTTCGTGTTTGTATTCTTTACTCATCATGGTGACAACATCTTTTGTACTGGAAGTGTGCAACGATACCTGTTCTTTCGCTCTACAGTACAAACATTAGCAGAGAATGTGCCATCTGCCGATTTCACCAGCGAATATAATGAATATCAGAAAAACTTCACATTATCAAACTTGTATTAAACCTGTTTAACTAGGAAGATTATTGTTGCAGTAATTTCAGGCAAACAAATACCCACGAAAGTTTGTTTTTTTACCGTTGATAAATTTGTTTGCCTCCAAATGTCATTCAACCGTTGAAGACGCTTTGTCCAAAGGCAAGGAAATTTGCTAAAGCATGCATATATAAAATGTTTAGCTATACATATCAAACATTGTCTTTGGGCCCATATATATGAACTGAGCAGGGAATTGGGATTGTATGTTTGAAACCACTTATAATAGGGAAACCTGCCCAGGCGAGATGGTTACTTGAAACAAGCTAAACAACTGACGTCATATCTTTTTCAGAAAGGGCATTTACTCATTCTAAGAACTGAAGGTAATTTTTCCTAATTAGCCGGGATGTAATGTGTAAGGGAATTTATCGTCCCAGATGAGCAGTATCTTTGCAATAGAAGCTGCAATTTCGCTAATTTCACAAAAAAATTTTTCATTGTTCAACGACACGGATCCATGACGACACATGATTATATCACTCAAAACGAGCAATTTCTATTGATCAGTCTTCCTTTTAACAAAATACCGTTTTGCTCAAATCATTTTGAGTTATGTAATCTTATGCGTGTCGGTCGTACACAACATTGGCTATATGTATCTTGTTTACAATTTTGAGAAGGTACAGATATAACGCCTTCTAAAGTCCTCAGTTCTAGCGATATATATTCCGGGGGTGAATAGTTCTTGACACGCAATTTGATTGGTTGCCCAGTTACGGTTGTCGTTGCACTATTGCTCTCCAAACGGAAACAAAATGACTTCCCGTTTCGTTCCTTTTACAGAATGGCGAGTAAATTTTTGAACGAAACGAAACTGCGGTTTCGCCAAATACGACGAAAGCCACAAAGTTTTGTTTAACATGCAGTGTGTAAAGGAATTCATTAAAGTTGTTTCTGACAAATAAATATGATAACAAGGTTCGCATAAAAAATACAAACAGCGAAAATGTATTAATTTAACAATTTGAACTACTTCGAATGCATGTCATCTATTCAAAAATAGCTGAGAATCGCAGCAGAAATATTGTTCCTTTTTGTGTGCAATTTTACTGTATAGCTAGTTTTTCCCTCTAATTAACAGAAAAACCGCTCATGAAACACTCATAAAAAATCAACATATACTTCACAAATTGGTCTTTGAATTTGGGAAAAAGCCATGCAATTATTACTCAGTCCACTATTGGGAGATTCAAGTTTTGCGGTACATGATGTGCCTACATAGGAAATTCTAGTTCCGCTGGAGGAGTGTCCACTGAGAGTTGAAGACAATGAATGGCACTCGACCATGCAGCCATTAAAATACCATTCAGCGAAACAAATGAATCCTCAAAGATAAATATTATTTTCGTACTTACGTTAAATGCTTCGGAAGCATCTGTTTCAAGCGGCATTCTTGAAGGGGATTTACATTTTGAATAGCTACGCGCGTTCACTGGACCAGTATCTTGTCGGTTAAGAATTCTCATTACCTATAGAAATAGATAGAAAATCTAGAATCGATATTGTATTTCAATCCGCGGTGTTTTATGATAAAGAATGGTATGATGTTGACAATTTCACAAGTTCCCGTTGTGGTTGCCGTCACCCTTTTTTTAGGTTTAGATGTAGGTAATGAGAACCATATTGGTGTCCTAGTAATAATTTTATGCCACAATAGTCCATAAATGTTAGATGAAAAATGTAGTGTGAAATATGACGGGTGTTGTTGCCACAATCACAATGTATATGCCTGTGAAAAAAGTTGTATTTGAAAAACCTGAGGATAAAAGATAAAAAACCACTTGTATTTGTATAAATGTGAACCTAAGAAATATAAGTGTAGGTTATAGACTTGTGCATAAAATTGGAGATGTATGTGTGAAATTGTAAGAGTAAAATATATCTTGTTGTGTAAAAAAATGATCAGACCCAAAGAGTATGATCGCGCTGTTCTCAACGCTAGTACACAACCAACGCCGGTGAGGTTGGCACCACTGGCTGGTATGCCAGTTAACCACACGACAACGAAGGAGGAAGCTGAGAAATAATTGCTATAATTTTCAAGAATGAATGTTAGTTAAGTTAATTAGTTTTGTGAAATGAATAATAACACGGTTGCCTTTGACTCGGCCAAGAAGCTATCCAATGTTCAAATTGTACCAGCTATAATCAAAATTTAATCACGCACCTCTTCTTTCTTTACTTCTTCAGAATCTCTCAAAAATAGAACACTTTTATCAAGGGCAGAAATCGCCACACGAGACCCAGGCTTTGCTTTCATTACGATCTTCGTTTTCTGACCGGGCCTTTTCTGCGCCTCAACAAAATCAACCGAGATCTAAAAAAAGATGCCGCAGACAACCCTTGTTTAGCAAATAATTACTTTGATATATTTCATTGTCCAACTTTCGTTAACGGTGGGGAACTTGTCTGGGAAAACTTGGAAACATAGACTATTTTGGTCCTAGTATATCCATGGCTCTATTATCATTGTCGTCAGGGGCGGCGAAAGCAATGTGAAGCGGCGAGGGAGTCATTTCAAAAGGGCACTTCATTTTTCTGGGCAGCAATATTTGCTAAATCTTTACTGTATGAATACTCGGTTACTTGTGGCCATTATGGGTCGGCAAACATTGACATTAATTTTGAATAATTTTATTTGTTGCACCGTGCTAAAGGCGCAAAATGAAATCAGTGAACGAACGTATATTGCTTGTTTAGCATTAATTTTACTACAACTGGTTAAAAATTAAGCAAAGATTGCTTAAAGTCTCTATCAATTAGTCTTTCTCACGATGACGAATATCCGCCATTTTTGGGTGGCACGCAATTCTCGTTTACCAACGCAGACAATTAAAACAATGTGAAAAGGAATTTTTCAAAATAAACTAACCTTTTACAAACAAATTTACCACCATTTGTCAAAAAAAATATAAAAAGTCGCTGCTATGTGGACTGATCTCCCGGATTTCAGCCGAAATGCCACCCAAAAATGGCGGCGTGAGAAAGGCTAATTCCATGGGTCTCCCCCACACCGGGCGTTTGTCGGGCATTATCAACTGTACCTATTCCAAGGGTCGAGCATTTGCTTTCTGTATGTTAGCCCTGGAGTTGGGAATTCGCTCGAGACTAAAAAGTCGAATATTTGTCGCTTGCTTCGCTATCTAACCGTATTAGTAGTAAGCACATTTACCATAGTGCGAACTAATCATGGCGCATATTTCATTCGAAGCGACCCAACACGTGACGTTGAAGCAACCAGTAATTCAGTGCAATTGTTGCTATTGGATGACAGCTTCATTATACAGAGAATACAATACCGCGAAATTTACATAAATATGCATAACATGAACAATAACATAGGACAATGAGTTGCATAGCCCTGATTTCTATTGAGTATGTGCTATGATAATACACACTTTCATTCTTGTCCATAGTGTTGATACATTGACTAATTTATACTTCCGCCTTTCTATATTGTTACATTAAGTTTTGAGACTTCAATATTTTAATTTAATAAAAACGTTTGAAACAAAATGGCTACAGAATCAATTTTAAATATAGATATATTGATACGACATAGATCCTGCATTCGATTTTTTAGTTCAGAAATCCTCAGAAAACTTAAATGTTGCTCCCAAGGGTGGGGCATTTGCGTCAATATAAGTGCCCAGGGGTGGGGATTTTGTTGCATTATTTAGACCCCATGGTGGGGCATTTGTAACGTTTTTTCGCCAAAATGACAAATGCCCGAAAAGGGGAGGCGGTTGGGCACACATGGAATTGATTGGGACATAAAAATGCTGTACAGTCCGATCTGCGTATGTGCACAAAAGATCGAGCCCTCTTTTATTATACAAACAGTTTATTTACGTTTTTATTTCATTTTACGTTCTTGCAAAGCTTGATTGTTGTGTCTTGATAATTTATCATACTTTAGCATCATGAAAATATAAATAGTTTTCGAATAAAATTCTATACTTTGGATACCGAAATGGAAACAAAGCCTTTGTTTACATACGGACTGAAAAACATTGTTCTAAAAACATTGTTCTAAAAATTAAGTTCTAAATTTCAATTTCTGCAGTGAATAATGCACAAATTTCGAGGTCCAGTTCTGGCAAAAAGGGCAACCTGTTGCCCCGGTGCTGCCCCCGCAATGTTTGGGCAACGGGGGCAGTTGCTCCCGCTGCCCCCGTGGCTCCTGCGCCCCTGATTGTCGTGCACCATATATCTATGTCATGAACGAAAGGTAATTGAAAATGTTTAACGTCAACTTATATAGGCGTAGAGGATAAATTCAGGAAAATAATTGTAGTTACTAAAAGAGACAATAACTTCCAATAGATGTTAAAATCAATGTATGTCCAATTTTAAATGTGCCGACATTTGTAATCAGGTTGAATGCCACATGATCTTGAGCTGTCAAAGGCTTTATGGCAGGAAATTGACCCCTATTTTTCTTATAGTAATTAGAAACAGATTTTCTATTATTCTTTCACCCTGGCTATCAATATCGACTTAGGGAGGCCGTCAAATGGTCTCTGGGTACTATGGTTGATTTCCAGTTTCAGTTTAAATTAAGACAATAAAATTTATGTTCAATCTTCTAATGGCAGACAATTGCCCATAAACTATCAAGGAAGTCACGCACGTGCTTACTCAAATATACAAAATGAATAAATGATGTAGACAAACATTACAGTCTTGGGGACTAGCGCAGAATTTTCCCCAATAATAACAGCCCACCAAGCGTACCGATACCAACGTTACAAGAATATTAGGTTGAAACGTGGAAAGGTTTGTTCCTGAATCTAATTCTACTAGAGATCATATTCACTTATTCAAACCAGAGAAGCAAGCGAAAGTATATTTTACTTAAGCTCGTACCTGATTTTCAAGCTTTTCTTCAACATCGAACACAATACTGTCACCAACAGTCTCTTTATCCTCCTTGACATAATAGACCAGAATTCTACAGCTTGGAACCATATCTTGGGTAACGTTGAACCTAAGGTCAAATTTGTTGACACTTGTTCTTTGTATTGTTCTACCATTATAAGTAAAAGATCTTTCGTTTCTATTCGAGCTGAGACGATTATCCCGAGCGACTTTAGTAACACCAGACTGTCTCAGATTGCCTTTACACAGAATCTTAAAAGAGAATGACCATAAAGGTCAAATACACTGGTATATAAACCTGTAGTTTGTGGGCAGCAAAGGCGACGTTACTAAAGGGACGAGGGTCGAACATCCTAAAGGGGGGGGGGGGTTATCCCAGGAAATTCGTCACCCGAAAGGGCGAATCTTCACTGGGGGAAGGGGGGCGAAATGATGGGGTGGGATGAAATTCTTGGGACACCGTTCGAGAAACTGTCATTCACCATACATTCAAAATTAGAGAAAAGTGAAATTTAATCGAGGTACTTGGCATAGAATCGTATCATAATGAAATTAAATGAGCCAGAAAATTATAGTTATACAGGCGTTATTAGACAGATTTAGCGTCGTTATTAGACAGATGGCGTCATTTGGCGCCAACTATCGTCAGCTTCTGATTTGCCACGTCGTCTTGGACAATTTCACGACGCGAAAATTCAATTTTCACGTTCTCTCTAGAACGTCACAGATTTATGCTTCTTTTGAAAAAAATATGAGAGTATGCATGATAAAAATGATCCTATTTTGTTCCCCAAGTATTGTTTAATGACTCTATTTAAAGGTTTTTCATTGACAAGGTTGTTTTTCTTGTATTTCGCTAAATTTTGAACGTGTTAATTTTTGACAAGTACATTCGGTCGCCATAACAAATCAACAAAACTGCAAGCATTGTTAATAACCATTTCAATACCGCCAGTATTCTTCACCAAAACAAACATTTTAGAACAAACTGAAGTGAAGTTATATTAAAAACTGTTTAAAATCAGGAAAACTTGGGAAGATAGAAGAATAAAAGCAATTAAAAGCAGTAAAAACTCAATCAATTTTAGTTGCTCTGTCACAACAGTGCGAAAAAGTAGGGGAAGTAAAAAAACTATCTTAAACAGTATTAAATTTTACCAATATAAGCACTGATGCCTTATTTATACTAAACAGTTGACAAACTTGATTGGATAGGCTACAAACTAAAGCATTTAGCTCGTAAACAATACCTGCAGCTATAGTATTTATTCCAAATGATGCAACAAAGTTCACTTTTCAAAATACCGAAATATACGTCTTTTTCTAAAAAAAACTTATTGAATGTTCATACTAATTCATCAGGAAACACTTGGCCAGTATTATATAGCCTTTTCTTGCACATAACTTGACAACTGATTGAAAACAATACAGGAATGAGCAGGGAACGAGAAAACAAAAATTTGCTTCGAAAAAGAAAAACAAGCCGTCCCAGATTAAAACCCCGAAGTGAACGCAAGGTGTACACGTCATTTCCACGTCGTCTTTGACGTTGCGTCGTCTTTTCTAAATCTGTCTATTGGTCTAGCTGAAACGTCGAGCTGCTCATGCGACCGAACTAAAGGTAATTTCATAAACTCGATGTTTTATTTTTAAATGAAAGGTTCTCCATTATTTAGAACATGCATTGGGTCGTTATCGTCCTGTTTGGAATAACATTTTTTGTACATACGGAAACGCCTGGCTTTCAATGCGCACAATTCTGCTCTAAATTGGCACTATAAATATAAGATACGACAAACCTCTGGTGTTATAACCACCTAACTTGAATTGGATAAAATCGACAAACTATAGGTTCAATTATTTATTCCAGTTAATTTCCTTTGGTAGTTGTTCCAACTTGGATCCGACAATTACAATTTATATCATTAGGGAAGAAAACGCCTAGCATCCACAAGTATAATTGTAAGATCTCAAATAGTTTTCATATGGTTACTTCCATGAGATTAGACTGTATCTTTGATAAAATAGTAGAGAACAACGATGATGGTGCAGAACACACTGCATTACGACAATTGTTATTATTATAGTACACTCACGCGCACTAAATCAATCAGTAATCGTTAAGAGGGTCACGTGCCGATCCAATATTTTACCATATTGGGCAGGAACCTGTTGGACAGTTGCGAATCGAGTTGTTTTTTTCTTTTTTTTTTCAACGCTGTTCAGATGTTTGGCAATTTCAAACATACGAAAAGCAAAATAGCAGAATATGAAAAGAATTCAGGACATTAATACAGTTTTTTCTACCAGTTTTGTTTGAAATTATTAAAGGGGGGAAATTTCTCTTCGCGAAATTAATTTATTTGCAACAGCCTCGACGTTAGTAATAGAATTTTTTTCGTTAAAATTAAGTCAAATTTCCTTTAAACATACAAGGAATTGAGTTTGTTTATGCACACGTATTTGTAAAAACAAGTTTTTCTTTTTGTTTAGTTATTTTTAAACAAATTCGCCGTCGGTATATGTAGTTGTAATGTTGTCGCTGTATTATTCTCGCTGTATTACTTTATCGTTTATTTGACATTTTTTGTTATATAATTGTTTTGTTCGATGGATAAAACACTTATTGGATTCATCTTCGCCCAATATGGCAAAATATTAAGTAACTATCCACTTCAATATTAGGCTCGACCTTCGGCCTGGCGCAATATTGAAATCTCGGCCTAAAGTATTGGACTCAGAAGAATCCAAGAAGATGTATTATTCAAATTTTTAGCCATTCTTATTTATCCCCTGTAAGTTAGGCGTTATTTACCATGCTGAAGCAATCCATTTTGCGAAATTTGTCCGCCATATCATGATTCTTCCTGGATGAATGAGGCTGTTGTTGCAACTTTTTGAGGTGCAAAACTGCATATTTAGCAATTTTTTCTATGTACATGATATCCAGCACTCTTCGAGAAACTCCAAGTGAAGAACGAAAACAATACAATGAATGCATGTTTGTTCGAGTCCCTCATGCGCACATTTAAGCAGCCCATTTTTAAAAATATTGCCAGCTGCCTGACGATTCCTCTTGGATGAAACTGGGTGTAGTGGAAACCTTTACTCCAAAGTAAAAACTACACATCCCGCTCTATCTATATGATATCGAGCACTCTTAGCATCTCGTGAACATAATCCAAACTAACAATACCTTATAGTGAAAGGGAATCTCTTCCAGCTTATTTTCGTGAACGGTGTACAAAATATTCACAGATCCTCGACTCCCAACCTAAAATAAGTTGATATAAAGAATAATGCTGCTGGAGGGTACCTTTTATCCCGGAAGTCAATCTGTTGAAGTAAAATAATGCATTTTAGAAGAGTCGTAATATATTACGACTCTTCTAAAATGCATTATTTTATAATATTGCATGTGTACGAACACTGTTATATCAATCTGCTGTTGCGAGAGTACCGAGCTATCCATTAAGCAAGCAATGTGATATAAAATTTTTACCTTTGCTGTCACATGTTCAGGTAAAACCAATCTCAGATAAGACAAACTTGGCGAATACAAAGCTTTGGAAGATTTACTTTTTTCTAACTGTCCAGAATTGTAGTTTGCCTAAAGTGTTTAAAGATAACTTGATACATACAGTAAAACAAATTATTATGAACGTGATTGTTGAACAATTATCATATGGGTGCAGAAGATTTGATTAATGGAGGAAGGGAGGAGTTAAGGTGGCTCAATACAGTCTCTTGAAAATTGGAAAAGGCACATTTCAGATAAAAAAAATTGGTACATCGATATGTTCATAAAAGAATGAAACCAGATGTCTTGTATAGAACAGTACTTTGAGAATCAGAAACTGTAAGGGAAAGTGCGTAAATGTGATTACTTTGGCAACAATTAATGACGTATCAAAATGGATGTTAATTTGCTTTAAAATTAATTTAATTTGAAAAAACTGTCTGTGACCCCCAAGTTTTATTTTATTAAAATTTTTTTCTAGTATGAGCCATCATTAGTAAACTCTTTAACAAAATCGAAACAAAGTGTTTATTCGTGACAAAAGGTTTTTGGATCTACAGAATTTTTTTAAAAATTGGCTTAATGATTACTTATACTAACAGATAACTTTTAATAAAATAAAAGTTGCGGGTCACAAATTAACTTAATAGTTAACGTAAATTAGCAGCCATTTCGAAACGTCATTGTTGCCATAGTAACCACAGTTACGGACTTTTCCGTTACAGTTTCTGATTCTCAAAACACTGTTCTATGCAAAACATTAAAATATCAAAGTACAAATTATTTTGGTTTGTAATGTGTCTTTTCCACTATTCAAGAAACTGAATAGGAATGGCTCTTTAAACGGACCCTGAATAAAATTCGGTGTAGCTAGCGGGAATAGCCAAATGTATACTTGGGCTACTTGACAAGAATGGTTTTACATCTAAAACAAACAAATGTTTCAGATGTCAAGAGCGTTTTCTAAGGACATATGACTACCTAATGAAAAACAACCAGTACGTACCTGTAATCAATAAAGCGCAAACTTACCTTAAAGTTGAGGGTCTCCGTATAAATGGGTACATTGCTGAAAACGACAGATATCAAGCCATTGTTAATTTTAACAGAGTAAGATCGCCGAAATAATGTTCCAAGCGACTTTTTGTTAAAGCGACGTCCAGAGATGTCAAGTGTAAGTGTGCCATTAGTCACAGGTTTTCCATCCAGATAATTGATTCTAATCTTGAAGGAAATAATAACTTTCTAAATAATAGATATGTTGTCTTGGATCATTCATTTTAGTACGTTCTCTACACAAGGTTAAAACTTGAATTGAAAACCAGTTTCAGCGATTAAAGACATGACGCATGCACTTATTTTCGCATCATTTATTGTCAATATATATGGACAATTACTTGTGGCAGAGGACGAAGTATATTAAACTAATTAAATACTTAATACTTTGCATTTAAATTTTACAAGTCGTATATGTACAAGGGTGATATAACATTCGTTATAGCCGTATAGGCGATAAGAAATCTGTCAATGCACGCAGTTGAATTATAGATAATTCCTTCTTTTGACGCTTTAATCAAGTGGTTAAGAGTTGGTTTCCCGGTGAATGTGTAAAGCTTCCATTTATCCCCGAGCCGACGGCGTGACGCGCCGTGCGAGGTAGTAATTCCCCCCCGGCTATTTACCACTCGGGAAACGAAAGCATTAGCGAAGTCTAAAGTTCATCAATGACCACGGGAATGGGTTACCGTGAGTGGTTCGGTGGGTGATCATCTCACTGATCTCAAAATATGGCTGTTTCCCAGGAGTGAAGAGGCAACAATTATAAAAAATTCATGTCGGAAAGCTTGGAAAATCGTTTCACATAACAAATTGTAAAACTTTTTACCATTTTTTAAGTAAACGTAAATATTTGTAAGAATTGATTTAGTATGAGAAATCCTAAAGTGTAGGGCAAGTTTGTTTCAATTGTTTATGTATGACTTTGTATTAAAGTGCATATGACATGAAATTTCTTATTTTCTTAAAGGTGATGCAAAGTCCGTAATGTAAACAAACGCTTTGTTTACATTTTGAACTCGCTGCTACAGTTGTAAAATATGATTAGATACATATTATACTGAATTTTTCACACTTTTCTGGTTCGTTATGCTTGTAAATTAATACAGACTAGAGATTCAATTCAAGAAAGTTCGGAAGGTGCGAAATATTAACAACATTCCAAAGGTTGCTCCTCCCACTGATGGAATGTTTTGACGCGCAGAATATATACGCAGAACGGACTTTACCGCATCTTTAAATGAAATAACTCTTTAAGCTGTAGTTTAACTGATCTTTCGGTTTCTTCTTTTTGTGGTTTGTTTCCGAGATATTTCAATTTGTTTGATATGGAAATGAGTGTGAATATGTCCGCAACCAACATGACGTCATAAATTAGCGGACATATTCATATATCAAACAAATTGAAATATCTCGGGAACAAACGATAAAAACAAGAAACTGAAAAATAAGTTACATTACAGCTTAAATAGTTAACGTTATTTCATTTAAGAAATTAAGAAATTTCATGTCATATGCACTTAATATGGACTTGTTCTTGATGTTAATTCAAGTGCGCATTGTTTGCGAAAGTTTCTTAGTTAAATTAACCTTTGTAGAAGTTCATTATAAAAAAGAAAGCAAATTATTTTCATCAGCGTCCTGAACGAATTAAATTTATTTCCTTTCAAGGTGCGAGTAATAGGTAGAAGCTTGAGTTGAAGAGTTTATATAAATATCGGCAAAAAGCAGCTGATTTCAATTCACATTTAAAAACGTTTTACGTAGAATTTCTTTTTGAATTTTACTTTAAGATAAAGCCCATGCATAGAGACAATAGAAACCAAAATAATATACCTATTTTATATATTTTAGATATTGATAGTTCTGTATTTAAAAGTTTTCAAGTTTCATCTATTTTTTGCAGCTTTGCTCAAATATTTAAAAAATCGTGATTTGTGTTGCCATGACTAAAAGGATTTGCAACGTGAGCCTGCATTCAGTGTTGGCGTAATTATGAATACTTCATGTTGAAACAATGTTTGGAAAATATAGGCAAGGGGTTGTTGCATGTATGTATTTCTAGTAATAGTAATGACCAAGCTCTAGTTATATTATTGGTGAGAAACAAGATTTCAGACATAAACGCTTGATCAATAAATGGAAAAACTAATAATGAATTAAAATTACTGAAGTGTTCACATATGCTCCTGTAATTGAGAATCGTATTTGACTCTTGTTATACAGTGTATCTGTCATCTTCATGTTGTGTCAATGTATGAATTTGAGCGGACAAGTAAAATAATAGACACAGGCGTGTTTTTGCTGTAGAATCATGTTTTTAGAAAAACATTTGCAGTGGTAGTGTTCCATTACAAAATATTCCTTCGTTCTGTAAATTGTATTTTATGGTCAAAATAGTTATTAATATTATAAATTTACAATTGTCCCGGAGCCCTATGCCCCGAGCCGACGGCGCGAAGCGCCGTGCGAGGGTACTAATTCCCCCCGGCTATTTACACCCGGGGAAACGAAAGCATTAGCGGAGTCTAAAGTTCATCAATTATCGCGGGCGTGGGTCACCAACGAAGTTTCGGTGGGTGGTCATTCTCACTGATCTCATAATATAGCGGACTGTCATGAATAGTCAACACTGATTGGTCCAATTTAAAATTTGCATTATAACGACTGCAGGACGACAGCGAAATAGCAAATATTTCTTGATTTGGTGATTGATAAATTTCTTGCCAATATATTTCATTTTGCTCGCATTTTTGCAAGATTTTGTAAATTTCAAAAGCTCTCTGAGAAAGAAACTGCGAAAGAATCGGCTAAAAGAAGGGAGCCGACGTTAACGAAGCCGAAGGTAAGTTTGTTTTAAATATTGATTTTATATAAATGGATTTAAAACCCGATGGCCTTTTGCTTTGCATATATGAAACAACTAAACAAAACAGCATATAATTTCAGTGTATCTTTAATATTGATTCCTTTCTTATGATATTGATATTTGCAAACTCAAAGTTTATCGATAAAGCCATTTTAAAAGGCAGTTTAGTTTTATAACACTTTAGTGACTTTGAAAACGTTTTGGAAGCGTTTGTGGTTGAATTTTACCTTAAATTGAGGCTTATATTACGTATAAGAGGGTCCCGAAGGGGGGTCCCAATCCCATTTCCCACCTGAAATTTTGACAAAATCGCAGTCCCAGTTGCATTTTTATTAGAAATCCCAGTCCGAGTTATTGAAATCCCAGTCAATAAAAAACTCTTTATTTATCGGTAGAATGAACAGTTTTAAGACCTTTTAAGCCACCGTGTGAGCAAGTGGCGGCCACTTTATGAAATATTCAGCATGAGCTCCACCTTTGAATTTACTATATGAGTAAATTCTTAAACACGTCCGAATTTATCATTATGATAAATTCGCGGCAAATTTTGAATTTATCATAATAATAAATTCGCGGCACCTAACAGTAACCGCAACCCCAACCCTAACCACTAACCCCTAACCCCTAACCCCTAACCCCTAACCACTAACCACTAACCACTAACCACTAACTCCTAACCCTCATTTTTTTAACTTTTTAAATTGTTTTATGGAGTATAACTTCAATTTCGATACCTTGAAAGTGATAGGAAATCCAGGTTTGAACTTTTGCGGAACGTTAGTGAATGACATGATTTTGGATTTTTCGACCATATTAGGGCTTCGAGTGTTTTCTTTCAGTTTAACTCCAGTGGACGTTTCAGTAAACGTTGCTTGAATTTGTAGATAGTATTTATTTGTATAGTAAGTCCGATATTCTGTTACAGGGTCAACTAATTCTCTTGCATTAATCTCTATGCATCCTGTGACCTGTAAAATAATAACATATAATTATTGGACGAGGTTGAGCAAAATATCGTGATTTATCAGTGGCGAGCAGATCATTCATTTTTATCATTTACGGATTATTAGTATTTGTAAATTATTATGGGCACAAGTACAAGAACAGTCAACTGAAAAAGTATAATTTAGTCTGACAAATATCCAACGTAAAAATACTGTATTGCACAAAACTTGTGATTTCTATAAAATCAAGCGTGTAAACAATTTAACTTTTGGTGCCTTTTTTGTGTTTTTGGCGTCCTTTTCCTCCAGTAAAGATGACAAATCGCTTTCCGATAGCTCGGTAAAACCAGCCATGTTGACATTTCAAAAGAGAAGACGATGTTTTTTAATTTAAACTGATGCTCAACGAAGTATTTGCACCAGTTATTCGCACCTGATCGATATTTGCACACAATTATTTGCAGACAAATTAGCCAATCAAAATTGAGAACACTATAAAGTGAATGATAAATTAACCGTATTTGCATTAGAAGACGTCTTAAGTTAAACGTCTGCATGGACGAACTAAACTTATCATATTAATAGCGACTAATATAAATACGAGATGGAAAGTTGCATGGAAACCAATATAAATTGAGACCAAAAAATGTAACAAATAGTCATTCATTTGACAGTCATGTATATGTCCAATGTTTCATTGGTAAGTATGTTCGAGTTATATTTATACGAGAGTCAGACGACATGATTATTTATCGGTAATTACAAGTCTTTAATTAACGTCTCAGGCGATTAAATCCTCTCGGGCGTTCTGAAAAATGTCTTTCAATATAAATTTGAAAGCTGGTTTTCACAATCACTTTAATTTCCCAAAATATATTAAGATTTTTATTCAGATATCATTTTCGCATTATACAGTACAAGTCTGTCCGATTCATGGTTATATTTCTTCAACTTCTTCCTTCAACAAAAGGCTTTCTGTTCAGCTTGACTAAACAGCGCTTCAGCGATAGCCTAGTTTATATCTGCTGAAGAAGTGGAGCAACACCCACAACAAAATTTAATGAGTATCTCCATTGCTGTTTTGGCGTCTCTATAGAGATCAGTATGATCTGTAACGCCAGATTGCGCATCGTAAACCTTCGGTTTATGTACTATTTACAACTTGATGTTCTGGGTTATTTCGTAACTTAATTGCTTAATTCATTATGAAATATAATTGCAGTCCATAAACGTATACGCGACATTCTTACGCATATGTACTGCCTCACTGAACACGTTATCGTTGAATAGTGTGCAATGCGCAAGAAACCTACATTTTTTATTTCCGTCAAACAATTTCGTGTAACCGTATCATATTTGAGACACAGGGTGGCTTCTAAACGTCCTTTGACCAACTTTCCATAAGAATACCTAAAATCAAATTATATTGTTTTATTTCGTGATCAGAATATTTCACCACAATTGTGATTTTTTGTTATAAATTCGACAACAAGTGTAATTTCCTTGCACAATCGTTTTGAATATCCACTATCTACAATAAGCAAAATCAGATTAGAACTATAAATCTTTATACAGTGTATGCTGCAAGTGAACTGTACACGTCTACTTACAAATATGGTGTTTTTGGATGGAAATATTTTCAGACCAAAGTGATAACAAAGAAACTTTCCCCAGGAACATTTTTTGAAAAATGCATGTTTTGCATGCTCGCTCAGTTTCAACTTCCAAATCGTTTTAATTTGACCAGAAAAAGAACGCATTATTTTTATGCGACCATCTGTACTTAGCAGGCCTACCCTATGGAGTTTGCGGTTGCATCATTAATTCCATAGTATATTTGTACTACTTACATACTGTATCCATAGTATGGAAATTGAATTGGTGTGAAAAAAATATACTATTTACCATCACAATGCTTACTATTTCCATATTAAGGAATTTAAAAAAAAAATCCAGTGTTCATTACTCCTGTAGGTGTAGACAATATGAACATTGCACTTGTTTGGTAAAGTATGTGTGGTTTTTTTTCAATGAAGCTGATATTCTCTGTTGTCAATTTCTCTTAATTTAACCTTTTGCACCGCCAGTTTTTAAGCAATACAAGTACGTGTGTTCGTATATTAAATAGCTATTTTAAAATTATTTTCGTAGATTTCGTTCATTTGAACTATTTGGCAAGCTAGACAGTTACAGTCTAATGCGTACTCCATGGTTCTTGGGATTTGGCCATTCGTAAAAAATTTGCCAAATGGAAACCGTGACATAGTTGTCTTTTGAACAGATGAACTTATTAGTGCATTCATTTGAGTCGAATCGTCGGTGAAAAATTTCATCAAATACAATTATGTATGGTAACTACCTGGCGCATATTGAGACAAGAATCTCTCGTTGATCCAATGATAAATATGAAGGAGGTTTGACATCCAGTTGAAATTTGGGTAGAACTACAAGGTACAATTAAGAGTAAAACTAACAAAACTTATCAGTTAATGAGAGCGTAAATTAACATTTAATGTCAAGTTTCTTTAAGACAGAATTCGAATGAGCGCTTCATGAACAAGGGAGGAATTTCGTTCTCGATCCATCATGGCATTGTTGAAAATTGCGCTCTAAGCCAATCAGAATGCGTAAAAGGTTACTGTGGGTTGTTTTTTTGCGAGCACTGAAAGCTCACTTCCGGTAAAAACATACAGTTAAACAGGAAATTTAGGGTCTTAAATTAAACTTCGAGGAGTCATGGTTTTTAATATTATTTTTAATTCATTGGATTCAACATTACAAGGTAAGATAATAAATTTAAAAAAATTTCCGTTCTATTGCCAAGTTCAAAACACGCTGCTGTTCGAATGTTGATACCTTCAAAACTAGACAACAAAGCGAAAATCCCAGCGGCAAATTGCCACGGAAAATATCTTTTTTTTACCTTGTCACGTTGAACATCCAATCAAAATAATTAAAAATCCTGACCCCTGTCAAGCTATTTTTAAGACGGTAAATTTTCTGTTTAAATGTATGCTTGTTTACCGCATGGTGGTAGTAACAATTATGCATTCTGATTGACTTAGAGCGAAAATGTCAACAAATACATTAATTGGTCGAGAACGAAATTCCTCCGCGTGTTCGCTTCATGGAATACGGATTGACTTTGATTTATAACATATTCATAGCACGCTGAGATTAATAGCGCTGATATATTTTCACTAAAAATATTATTATTGATCAGCTGAAATTGAAATAATTATAATGCTGTGAAAGAAGTGCCGTAGTCTGGAAATTAGAAAAACAACGCAAAAATTAGATAATAAAGTATATCGATGAGACAATGGAGCGTACATTAAATGCATAAGCTGTATATCTGCAGTCCACTTACCGTACTTATCAATTTCAATTTGCTTTGTGACTGTTTTGCCCTGAAAAACAAATATATTGCATCTGTGAATGCAAACAAATAAACGTACTGCGAGGGTACCACTTAAAGTTATGCGTTTGTGTATTCGAAATAACAAACGTTGAGTACTTTTTGAGACCAAAGTTGCCGTATGCATTCGTTAAATTTGGAAAAGGAATTTGCAAACGTTGCTTTGCTCATTCCTGGACAAAATACACCGAGTGCGTAATTAGCATATTGTACAATGTGTGCACAATATATAACTTAATTCGCACCGCGGAGGTATAGAGTCTCTAACGCCTGTATCCTATAACAGCTCACTCACACTCACACTCAAAGTCGAGTGGAAGTTCAATCAGAGCTTCCCTTGAGTGTCTGTACCGTTTTTGAGTAGATGGAGGGCTAGTATCGCGTACCTTACTATATGTCTACTCTCCTTTGACATCATTGATACTGCAGTGAAGCTGAGATTGAACCTCCAATCATTGAGTGTAAGTGGTCTTTTAAAATACAGGTACAACTAGCGCTCTCCAGTTTAGAAAATATCCATCTCATTAGTTGTTTTATAACCTGTCCCGCGCGCATGGTCGCATTTGCATTCACGAGTATAAAAGGACATTTGATTTTCACAACCCACGCTATTGTAACTAAGTGGAATTTTGTTTTTCAAAATCACCTTTCTATGGAAATAGTATAGATCTTCATTCGTGGGGGATCCAATTTCCATACTAATTGCAATTTCAATCCAATGAATATAATATGGAAATAATTATATAGACATACTATGGACTTAGTGATACAATTGGAAATTTTATATTATGGATTTTCACAATGTTCTTCCAGTGAATTTCCGGCCGAAAGCCTTCGATCGAAATGTCAAAGTTCATTATATGTTTTCAGGTAGTTATGTCATATGCAAAAGTTCACTCCTTGTTTCATTCGCTACCTATTGTGGCGCTCACGTAGTCACGTTCGATATTTTAATCTCATTTATATCTATATCACTTCCAACGGCCATTTTTCGTTAATGTGTAGACATACCTCAAATTTCGCTTTAATTAACCAATTACCAAGAACAGGTTCTTTTGACAATTGAAGATCCAGATTAGCGACGCCTAAATATGCATTTACGTGATATTATTTCGGAATCCGGATTGATAAAGACAATTGAATTTAATATATGGCCTGCAATCAAATACGTGATTATAAAATCGCACGTATTTCAATTTCCACTTTATTTTTTCGTTGTGACTTCGTGAAGTATTTTAGATTGTGAAAATGAAAATCTTACCATCTTCTAGTTCAACATCATTCCATTGCATTATCCTCGCACCGCTGGGTTCCTGTGACATAAAATCATTGTGAAGGGATTTATTTTAATTCTGAAGTCGCTCTGCCAGTCTCGATCTTATTTGTGCAAGTTATAATGACGTAAGTCGTGGTCAAACATGAATGAGAGTTGAGAAGCAAACATTTTACACGAGAGGTTTCTCAAATCTCATGCCTCGATAAGACGAATACGAGAATTGCATGAGACTTGATGAGAGTTCATTGGATATTACCGCGCGATAGCGAAAAGACTTATTAACTCTCATTTTAAATAAATGACTACAGTGGTGACAGATGGACGAATGACGATATCTAAACATATTTGTACGATATTATATTTACGGAAACCAAAACGATCTACAAACCTGAATTACCACTGAGGAAACCTTTCAGAAAAAAATAAGGACAGAAATTATATTAATGATAAGTGAGTGATAGTTAACAACGTTTTAATGAAATTCACAGCTGATTCAACTAACGTTGTCCTCTGAAGGTAAAACCTTCGACATCTTAGCGCAAAAGGCACCATGGCCATGTTTAGTATCATAACTTTTGCTGCGAAGGCATGTTATAGTAAAATAGCTGTTATGTTGTACAAATTATGTTACTATGTCAATGTGTCTAGTTTATAATGCTGATCAATTGGTAACTATATTTTGCAATGGAGTTAACCATGTCCCACAAGCAACTTTCTTTACATTCATTAAGAGCTGAAAAACCCTTTGAATCTTGATTGGTTTCCTATTGAATGGGTTGAAATCACCGCAGTTCGTCGATTATCAATCGATTTTTCGCATAAGAAACACGGCTTGTGGACTTAGCAACCGTAGCTACGGAGTGTTGAGGTATAACTGAATGTGTTTACCAATAAAAGTCCTGAACTCGTCATTAATTAATAAACGCGTTTTGATACACAGCCTCTATACAGCTAACACTATATATGACATTCATGAATGTACTAGAAATTAACCCTATTGGAATTAAAAGTCATTTGATGCATAATGGACAATTTTTATCATTTTCAGGGGGTGTATAAGTGGTTTCCATTGAAAATATCAAGATGTTACGTGCGTGATGTATATTTGCACAGGCAAAATCAATTGTTGACTTACTTTCTTTCCTGCAGGTTTTAGTTCATAATCCACACATATAATTCGAATCAAAACTAAAAATAAGTTTTCTTTTGTTTAAAATTTTAAAGTCAGCAATGATTCTATTAATATTAAAAGTATCAGTAAATTACTGAGATCAGCTGATGTTGCAAAAGATCAGTTTTTATGATTGTGCAATAATTATTTGTACTATGCGTTCGTTTACATTGATCAAATTCATTTTCTTTACATTCATTCACGAGGATACTAAACATGTCGTTCCAAATTGCAATTCATGCATACGAACGAAAATCTAACAGGTATAACGTAGGCTACTGACCTTTCTGTCCAGGTTTATAAATGGGTTTATCGGTTTGAATAAAGACCTTCTTCGCTTGGGCTTCATAAGCAATAGTTTTCTTCGCTGTTTTTACTCCACATACTGTAGCTCTCACTTTCACGTTAGATAGGCCTTCAGGTACCTGGTCAACGAAACAGCACGGACAAGTAATTATATGGAGTTATGGTACAAAAGGCGTCGAGAATTTGAAAAAAACATTAATTTATATCGCTGTATCTCATCACAGACATCCGCTGCACGTCAACGTACTTCATACCGGAAGGAGAGATTTCGTTAGGAAAATCGAATTAAAAAGGGAATATCCTATGAAAATCTTCTATACCGGCATTGCGGTAACTTCTAGCATAAGCGAATTCTCGATGCCACACTCTATATGCAGTGCAATTATGATTAGCCCTTGAGGTATGATAGGACAGTGACCTGTAACAATGACGTGATAAAAACTGACCTGAAGTTCCAGCATACCAGCTTCATTTGGTTGAAAATGACCTCTTGCTTGGCTACTGATGCCACGTTTCGTCGAGTCTTCCAGTGTGAGGCGTACATCACAAGATTTATTTCCAAAAATATTGATACCAATGTTCTGCGTCGTACCAGCTCGAAACACTCGCGGTACGATGATCAAATAATCTCCGTCATTCACAACGCCATTGCTGCAAAGACAAATACATACTATCTTTAATTTAAATTAAAGTGATAAACAGTAAAACCTTTATTTATTGCATGGGGTATTAGACAGTGTTTACGAATTATTATAAACTCTACGGTTATATGTGAAATATGCAAAATATTTAAAAACATTGTTCTCTGCAGCGCAAATTTAAGGTGTCTCAAATTTAATTGGGCAGATATAATTTCAATATTCCGTTGCCTTATTAGTTATTACCCTTATCCTTGATCATATGTAGTCTGTCCGAGTGAAGATTTACCTATATGTAAGATATACGAGTCGGATAACAGAGGACTATCTCCGAATGCTTTCATAAAAATTAAAAATTGGCCGCCTCAGCCACGAGGGTTCTATTCTTTTCCATATTTTACTCCTTCCTTGCACAGTCATTCACAATCAACTTGCATTATCGGTACGATTTCGTTGTAAAATTGATATTGTGTAAATATACAGGGTGTATCAAAATAAACGCAATTCATCTTTTGTGCTTAATAACTTTCGAAATACTATTTCTAGTTAAATGCTTTTAGGCTTACTTCAAAGCCTGTTCTTTTCTCTTTCAAACAAACTATTATCCTTGTCTTCAATGCCAGTAATAATTGCACAGGAAAAGATTTAGTAAAACCTATCATTTTTAGTTGCTGTTTAATTATGCAAGTTTACTATGTTATTAATTTGTTTAGTCGGTTTAAATGTTAGAATTTTCTTCTTTAAACTTTAATGTTGTCGTCACTACATCTGGAAAACCACGTAAGAACAAATTAAAAGTATTTTAAAAGAGACCAGGTTGTTTGAAAATCCTAAACGAATGCTAAAAATCGTCGAAACATTCTGATGTCTGAGCCAGAGTGTCATCGAATTGCGATGTAATGTAAACAGAAATTATAGCAAGTTGATGTCAGTCAGCTTAGATGGTCCAAGCCAAAATTATATCGCATTTGAAGTTTCAAACTGAGTTAAAAATAGTGGAAGAAAAGCCGTAATTATACTTATTGTTACAATCCACTTAATAAAATGCAACATTTTTTGTTTTAATGAAAAAATCAGTTATTTCCATTCCACTGTTATAAAGCTGAATGGCTACGCTTTAAAATGAATGTAAACTTTAACCCTTAAACCCTTACTTTAACTTTTAAACTTCTGGGATTTGTCAGGAGATCTTCCCGGGAGATACGAAGCCAAAGAACAAGAAGATGTCTGTTCCTCTCTGTTGTACGACCACACCTTGGCTACGCCACCCAGATTTGGGCCCCTCAGACCATCGAGCTTATCAAGCGCGTCGAAAGAGTGCAGCGTCGTGCAACAAAATTCATACTAAACCTTCCATTCCACTGCGAACTAACTTACGAGGATCGACTACAAGCTACCGATTTACTACCGATTAGTTTCTGGCATGAATATTTAGACTTGACGTTTTTCTTCAAGATGTTTAACGGGTTGGTGTGCGTCAGTGAGGAGATAATCCCTGAACGGAAGCATGGAAATATAAGAACAACGCGAGCTACGAGCAATTTTGACATCATTACGTTCAGGATTAGAAAATGCAGAACAGTAACATTCCAAGGGTCGTTCATGATTAGAACAGCAAGAGTTTGGAACGTTCTTCCTGCAGAACTGAGACATCAGTATCTCACTTTATCAAGATTTAAATCTCTGCTGTTAGACTACTTCAAAACTGCCTTATACCTAAATTATCAACCTCAAAATCCTCGGACATGGAAGTCTATCTGCTTAAAGTGTAACACTGCTCGTAGTCTTGCTGCTTCACTCTCTTGCTGCTATTAGTGTCTCATAGTTATTGAAATATAAACATGATTAGGAAGGTTGTAAGTCTTAATTTTATGTTCTGTCTAAATTTGCATAGATTTGTGTCAATTTGTGCACGTCCAGGTTCTTTGCTGTTTTGATCTATTTTTCGAAGTTGTCAGATCTTCCTAGCCTTGTTTATTAAGTTTCAATAGCTATTTTATATTCTATGAATTGTTATATATTTTATAAAATTTGCAAGCAGCTAATTAAGTATGTTTGTGAAATACAATACAACGAAAACTTCGAGGAATTTGTTTGCTTGGCTTCAAGTTCCAATTCGTGTGATGACTTTGATCAGGTAAATCGAAGTTTTCGTTGTATTTTATTTGTGTTTTATTATCTATTTAAAATTTAAAGGGCCCACAGTAATTGGTAGCATATACTGTTGTGGTGACCCTGCCATGAATGAATGCATGATAATGGCGAAGTTAAATAAATAAATAAATAAATAAATAAATAACGTTTTCGTCTATTATTTGTTTATCAATTCACATTTCAGTCGAGGATTGCGCTTTTTTTTATACACCCTGTATATATATATATATATATATATATATATATATATATATATATATATATATATATATATATATATATATAGCTTAAGATTTTGGTTTACGAAACACAAAAAGTGCTCAATACCATATAGATAGAGCGTAATATAGTTTTTCGTTTTACCTCAAAAAACCTCAATGAAACAGACTGTTGTGGTTTTTTGAGGTAAAACGAAAAACTATATATATATATATATATATATATATATATATATATATATATATATATATATATATATATATATATATATATATATATATATATATATATATATATATATATATATAAATATTCGTATCAGCCAGTTCGACATTTGTATACAACAGAATAGCTGGCTACGATCCGAGAGAAACCAATACTAAAAATGTACTAAAGTAATAAAGTTTTAATTTTCGACTGAATGTCTCAGCCTTCCTCAGAAATAATATTACTAATAATTTCTAACGTATATATATATACACCAATAATATGCAAATATTACAATAATGATAACTAATTAAGCTTAGTGATAGACAAAGAAGTCACTGTTGCACAAAATCATGACTATCATTTAACCCTCCCCGATTAGTCAAAAGGGTCCCAATCCAGAAGTTTTCACATTCCAACAGATTACCACAACGCTGATCAATCAGCATAAATTTCAAATATGAATGGTCAGCCCCGTGGCAATCCAGGAAGTGATTAACAAAACTATATACAAGTTCTGTGCCCACGCTATTGTAGAAATTGACAAGTGGGTAGATAAGTGGAAGCCTTGGGAATTATCAGATAAGTGGATTGAATTTATTACTGAGAATACCAATGCTCACCCAGGTGTGAATTATCCCTTGATAAAAACACATAAAGTCAACAACCCAGCTAGAGTTATAACTTCTGGCTGTGGTACTCCCACGGAGAATTTGTCTCTGTTTGTGGAAAAGTATTGTAAAGTTGTAGTGGATTCCATTTCTTGCCGTGTAAGGGATACTTCGCACATGCTGGGGATAATTGATAGACTCAATGAAAAAGGAATATTAGACGGAGACATGTTGGTGAGTTTTGATATTATCAACATGTTTCCTTCTATAGATAATGACACGGGGGTAGAGTTCGTTCGCTGCAAATTAACGAAATTCTCGGATAGTTTGGATCTGCCTGTTGAATGCATTATTGAGGCATTAGAAATTTGTTTGAAGAAAAATTGTTCTACTTACCGTGGACAATTTTGGCTTCAAAAGAATGGTACTGCTATGGGACCTAAAAATTCTTGTTCCTATGCAGATATAAGCGGAGAACATCGATAAAAAGTTTTAGAGTCTAAGGCGTTGTTCCCTGAATTGCGATCCTGGTTTCGTTTTCGGGACGACACATTTGCACTTTGGCGTGGTACGGTGGAAAGACTGCACAGTTTTTTCAATACATTAAATTCATTCGACTCCTATTTACAATTTACTATGGAAGTAGGCGGGAGTTCTTTGAGTTTTCTGGAACTCTTTATTACGATCGAAGAAGGTCGTTTGGAAACTTCGGTTTATAGTAAACCCACCGATGCGCATTTATATCTGAATGGCAATTCGTGTCACCCCAGATCACAGATACTGGGTATCGCAAAGGGTGTAGCGCTTAGACTACATAGGATATGCTCCAAGGAAGAGGACTTTCGTGCCAAAAGTGCGGAATATGCTAATTATTTAATTGAATGCGGACACGAAAAAGAACATGTCTTAGATAAATTTAGGGAAGTAGGTAAAATTTCTTGGGAAGATGCACGCAAAAGTAAGAAAAAGTCCAATGAAGGATATTGTTGTTTAGTTACTAAGTATAATCCGCGTGGACCGGACATACGAAAAATCATAAATAAACATCACAAGTCCATTATCTGTTGTGATGAGAAGGCCAGAGATATTCTTCCCGAGAAGGTTTTTCGTGTGTCTTTTAAGCGCAACGCCAATTTAAAGGAGTTATTGGCTCCCTCCAACCCATATGGCAAGGAAAATACTGAAGTAGAACAATTCGGTTTTTTTAATTGTACAGCAAAGCGTTGTGACTGCTGTAAGAATTTTTTGTTAGAAGGGCACACTTTTCGTTCCGTTATTACCAAGAAAGTGTTTAAAATCTGTAAATCGCTTACATGTACGTCCAAGGCAGTGGTATATCTTGCCGAATGTTTAGCTTGCGGTTTGCATGGTGTTGTTTCTACTGTTAATTTTAAGGCCCGCATTGCAAACTACAAGTCACACATTAAGCGTGGACACAGAACTTGTAGTATTGTTAATCACTTCCTGGATTGCCACGGGGCTGATCATTCATATTTGAAATTTATGCTGATTGATGAGCGTTGTGGTAATCTGTTGGAATGTGAAAACTTCTGGATTGGGACCCTTTTGACTAATCGGGGAGGGTTAAATGATAGTCATGATTTTGTGCAACAGTGACTTCTTTGTCTATCACTAAGCTTAATTAGTTATCATTATTGTAATATTTGCATATTATTGGTGTATATATATACGTTAGAAATTATTAGTAATATTATTTCTGAGGAAGGCTGAGACATTCAGTCGAAAATTAAAACTTTATTACTTTAGTACATTTTTAGTATTGGTTTCTCTCGGATCGTAGCCAGCTATTCTGTTGTATATAAATGTCGAACTGGCTGATACGAATATTGTATTTTGTCATATATATATATATATATATATATATATATATATATATATATATATATATATATATATATATATATATATATATATATATATATATATATATATATATATATATATATACAACTCTTCCAAAAACACCTGCAATGCTTGGTTGATTCAAACTGAGGGCAATTTTCTCACATGTGACTGTATGAGACAAAATTAATAATCGGACAACTCAGGTTAAAGGCCAGCACAATGGAATCACCAGCACAATGTACTGACGCATCCCATATATCCAATCATGCATACGCGTCAAACACCACTGCATACTTGGATTTAAACGTATATTATATTTTTTTGCTTTTCCCACTATCTTACATTGCCTACACTGATAACAATCCCATTCTCCTAATGTTTTATAATATGTCAATCATGAGAGGGGTGCATGTGTCTACAACACTACTAATATATTTTAACCCTCGTGAATATACACAAGCCAGAGTACAGTTTTAGAAAATTTTCATGAATTTTTTATAGGAATGTTAATAAAGTGATATCTCAAACTCAATATAGCTGCCGTGATTTCTGTCTCAACTACCTGAAAAGGTCGTGATTTGTATCGCCACTTTATAAACTGAAAAAGAGATCTAAGACACAGAATCTCCATTCTCTGTCTAAGATATTAAGTGAGGTGATTTTTTGCAAAGTTGAAATTGACCTTCACCGCCCACATGTATAATCCGGTGAAAAGACAGTACTAGTCAGTCTAGTAGCTTCATTTCCTGTGTGTGCACGACGTGTTACCTACATTGCGAAAACCCAATATGTACCATCATTCTCAATTGCCTCAAAAATGCGGTAATCGTAACAGTCAAGGGGGCAACTGGTTTCGAAATTTTGTGGTTAACCTTGGTTAACCATAAAACATTCTTCCACATGGAGCATATAAATTCCACTTGTGAGAGTTGGAAAGTTAGTTGCATTGCTGAGCTGGATGAAAAGAGACAAGGATTTTCAAATCATTCCAGTTTACAAGTATGCCGGGTAAGTGGAAATTCGACTTATTTTTTAAATATTTTTCATGTATTTTGATTCTAATTTCATTCATTAATTTCGTTCATTTATTCATTCAAACATATATTTATGATTCACCAACAGTGGTATTGCTATCATTTTCCTAATCTTCACAATATCTGCCAAGTGATATTAGCATAAGTTGGTTTTTAAAAAGAAATGAAAATTATTTTGAGATGCATTCTCTCTTCGAAAGTATAGTAACTTTTTCTCGTAATTTGTATTTTTCAAATTGCTGCCGACAAAACGTAGGTTGATTATTTAACTGTGACTAAATAGCCAATAGGTTTTCTGACTTAATTTTAAATCACTATAGTGTCGAAATGAGTTTGTAAATTTGTAATAGCAATAAATCGCCGTATAAAAACTGACAAAGCATCAATTGAGAATGTCCGTTTTGCATAACAGACATAATAGTATAGACACAGCACTCACACGCCAATGGGGTATGTCAAGTCAGCATTACGCCATTTTGTATGCAACAACAAAGTTGCATGTTTCTGTTGCCTGTCTCAAATGACAGAAAAGGAAGTGGGATATAATGATAAATCTTCATCGATCTTATAGTGTTCCTCAAGATCCCCCTTCCAGGTCGGGGTGAAAATGAGAATTGTTTAAATCCGACACTGTTTAAATCCGATATTGATTAAACATTAATTTCTTTCCAATTTTCTTTATGATTGATTAAGGATATTTTATAGAAAGATTAATTAATCTGCCAATTTCATCCGCCTTTATTTAAACAATCTTCCGAGTGAGGAAAGACAATGCTAAGTACATACTAGTACATGCATATCAAAGCAAGCTTAAATTTCTCGTGATGTTTGCTTATTGATAGACCACGCATTTCCAGATCTTTTCTTGATTATTTTTCTTTTCAAACGTTTGTGCGGTTTTCTGTTGTATAGTCGGCAAGCAGTTGAATTTCGTTAAATATATTAGCATTTAAGTTAAACAGTTAAGTCATTAGTCATAAGATCATAATTTTGCGATACTGTTTATTTTAATATATGCTTAATATATGAGTGATTGTACCGTGTATGTGTACTAATGTTTGATAAGGGTTAAGTTAAATAAATAATACAGGATACAAGTTTTGATCATATCGTAGTGCTGAATTGTGTTTGATAAATTGGAAGATTGGATAAAATTATTTTTTTCATCCATGTTCTATAGATATCAAGATTTTAAATTTCAAACACGTTGGACTGAACATTTTGCTAGCGGTTGTAGCATCAAGTGCGCAAATAATAATAACAGGTAATTCGAAACTTTAGGGTTTTTTTCATGTTTTTGCACAGTATTATATACTTGAAACAATTCGAAACAATGAATAGATAAATCTGTAGTTTAATTTGGTTTAACTCAGCACTAGTGTGTAACAGATGGTGGTCAACCTTTTCATTATATGTAGTAGTCTTGTATCTAGAAGAAAATAAAGAAATATAGTTTACTCAAACCTACCAATACCTGATTCTTTTGTTTTAGGACCACAAAGAGAAGTGGTTTCAATATACAAAGATGACTTTACCACCCCGGCATCCAGACCTCAATATTTCATCCAAGTTTATCGATGTGTTAAAGTTGATGTGAGCGAATGCCGCAGTGGACCGTCTGGGTACCCGGTTCCAAAAACAACGGCAGAAATTGAGATAGTGGTTCCGGATATAACAAACAGTAAAAAGTTTTATAAACATGTGGTTTATAATCACACGTCTTGTAAATGTGGGAAATTAGAGGAGAGGACGAAGAAACTGTATAAAACCATAACTAATAACGAAGGTTAGTCAAGCTTACAGTGAGTAAATACCATGCATGCAATTACCTAAAAAGTGAAATGAACATGTTTCGTGATTCATTAACGTTTTTTCGTTCTTTAGAAAATTTCGTCCGGCTATAGTTTTTTGTGTTAAAAAAATGTTCATATGATAGGTTGATGACAATATAAACCAGGCGAACACGGGAAGTCTCCCCTCATCACTGAGTTAAAACTGCTATACTGAATATCTAGGTTAGGGAATTGTTACTTGATGGAGTTGATGCGCTTGGAAGCTCATGTAAAGCGCATTTTCCACTGGGCGAATTTGTTCGCGCGAAATGTCTTTGTCGGCATCGCTTTGTGCATTGTCGGCATTTGCTGACATGATGAGCAATGCTGACAAAGGATAAACCAGCTGCGCGTGAACAAATCCCCCCGGTGGAAAACGGGTTGTGCTTGGTTTTTTCGTGTACATCGAGGGATTTCCTCCGGTATCTCTTCCCTGGGTTTTATTCTCCCACCTCAAAGCAACCATTCCACCTTGAGCTGCATTCCATAACGACAACCCGAGCCGCATTAGTCAGCCTTCGACTCAGTAACGTTTCAGACCCTTCGCCATCTCTCCCCACTACAATACTTCATGTAAACGCGTCATATGCGCATCACTGTTTTCACGCCTGAGTACGAGGCAGTTTCACGTAAGTCAGGTCTTAACTGCAAGGAAAGGTGATTATTACACCGTAACTTTAATCTGTGTTAATTTCTCTTGCAGTGAGAGAAACTTATTTCAAAGCGAATTATAAGAAAAATCCAGTTAATCTGATGCGTGTGTGTAACGTTTGCAACAGTGCTCAACCAAGACATCAACTCAATCCATACCATGCCGAAGTTACCCCACCATTTAAATATCTGGCGTACAAACAGTGCTTGCCTGGCAGCGTGGCGATAGAAAAGAACACATCTAAAGTTCAAATTACCTTGACGAGTAATAATGAGAAGTCTGTCACCCTTATAAATGATATTTCATGCAAAGCTTATGATGGAGAAAACGCTGGACGACGACAATGCCTAAACCCTACAACACAACATAGCCCAAGCCCTACAACACAAAATAGACGAAACAGTACAACACAAAATAGCCCAAAAACTGCAGGCCTAACAGGAGACTCAGGAGATGGAAACCAGCGTGATCAAGGTAAGAATACTTATTATAGAATACTTATCAGAGAGGAGGCTTGTTAGAGAGTGGACTTATTAGAGAGGGGCGTATTAGAGAGGGGCGTGTTAGAGAGGGGCGCATTAGAGAGTGGGCGTATTGGAGACGGGGCTTATTAGAGAGGGAGCGTTTTAGAATGGGAGTGTATTAGAGAGTGGGCTTGTTAGAGAGTGGGCCTATTAGAGAGGGGCGTATTATAGAGGGGCGTGTTAGAGAGGGGGCTTATTAGAGAGGGGGATTGATATAGAGGGTATGAGAATTTACGCAATTAGCCATTTCCCAATCGAGGAGAGGACTGGGTCTAGTTGATGTTTGGAGGGATAGCGAGTTATAGTGAGCGAGCTAAATATATATTAAAAGATGCCTTATTATAATTGTTGCGTTTCAGGCTGCAGAAATAACTTTAGGAAAGTAGGAAAACTTCCTAGATGCCATATTCGGCTCATTGTTTATTTTTTGTCCCTCCAAACAAGCGACTAGACCCAGTCCCTGCTCTGTTCGATTGGGAAATGGCTAGTAGAGAATTAATGATTAACAGGGATTATTTTGTTTCTGTTTAGAGGTAAATTATGAGATTCTAGTTTACATTGCTTCAGGCAAAGTTATCCTCGCCGCGTTTTTACTGTCGTTGGTATTATTTACTATATTAATTATGGATTTTACTCTTTGCCGTCGAAAGAAAGGATTTCTTTACGCTTTGTTTGCCTGTAAAAGTGATGACACGGATCATTTTTATCAACGTTGCAGCGAAAGAAATAGAAATGAGATTACAGTGTAAAACATAAGTAAGTACGAAGACCTAGTTCACACGTCGACCTTTTCATGTGCCGAGCCAAGGAGCTGAAACAATGAGTTTAGGACATTAACGTTCGCTTCTGCTCAGATTAGACTTGCTTCAAGCCTCGCTCTCCATTTTTGATAGCGTGTTATGAGATCAGTTGTTCCTTCCAAGTCATGCACTGATCTCATAATTGACTGGATAGACCCACTTGAAAATATAACTGATCTAAACATTGACTGGATAGGTCAATTGAAACTGATCTCATGACAACCGCCCAAGGTCTCATAACTGGATAGACCATATCAAAACTGAATTGGAGAGAGACCAATCGTTGATTCAAACAAAAGTATGAAAGTATGAACGCACTGAGTAGTTTGAAAAGTGCTCAACACCAATATTAGTAGAGCTTTATAATTGTTGTCTATAATTAATTTTAAGTAGAAAAGACAACAATTATATATATATATATAACTTATATATTAACTGGATATCAATTGCCAATTTTTTATCATTATTATCTTGTATTATTGTTATGTAACAGCTTATATTAATTTTTTTAATATTGTAATATAGATTTTTACCAGTGCATACTATATTGTTTTCTAGTTCTTTAATTGTATAATTAGTTTTCATGATTAAAGAAAAATGTTTAAAATGTTTCATGTGTTTCTCAATCGCGGTATCATTTGTAATTCTCATAACAATACATGGGAAAATCATAAAGAAAATCATGAGCGTGAATGAAGAAGCTTGTACTTCTGATACTAAATATCCTGCTCGTTTACAAAAAGCTCACAAATATCATAACTGATTGCTGACAAACGATGAAACAGCAACTTGAAACTGACATCTTACTGCAGCTAGCAATTAAGTGGCCTGAATTTCAGCTCATAACCGCCACCCTAAAGCTGTGTTTACATGGTATCAGATCGGTTTTTGCTTCGTTCGCGAAAGGTTACGGCCCAGGTGTAGACGGCTTCTGCTCCCGTCCTTACTGCAGACGTCAGTTGAAAGAGTGAGCAAGCTATATACCTCTAAATTATATTAGGTTAGCTTAATTATATTAATTAAGGTTTCAAATCATTGCCAATCCGGCTCAACACACACCACGCAGGGCCGCAGCGGCACTTCGATGCAGCCGAAAATTGATACGATTACATCATTTCACATGTAAACACAAGCCTTATCCGATCAGAGTTTTTGCGTCGCTACGCAAGCTATCCGATACAATGGCAACATAGCCTAAGACCCCTACAAACATTTTTTTCATAGTTGTAAATATACTTAAACTTATACTTAGCAGAATGTCTGCTTTCAATAACTATTTTTAGCGTTTTCTCAACTCCATATAAGAACTACTCCTTCGCCATCTGCTGTCGCCACACAGCAATCAGTGTCAGTTATAGCAATAGTATTCACTCCCTTCTTGTGTTGGGTTGTCCTGTTTGAAAATAAATGCAATATTGTTAAGGAAATACGACGTTGATATTTTGCTGCACGGATTTTGATGTCTTTGATCCTTAGTCCAGAAGTGGGACAGTTTAGAACTGACAGAGTTGTCCAGTGGGCAGTGAAAATAAAGTTAGTTTAGGTTTCCTCCTGTAGTGGCACTGGATCAATAGGAGATGATCCTTACTGGATCTCTGGAGAACAGTTCAGAACTGATAGAGCTATCAAGTACTAAATAAAGTTAGTTTGGTTTAGGTTTCCTCCTGTAGTAGGCTAGCGGTGAATCAATAAGAGATGATCCTTCCTGGACCTCTAGGGAGAACAGTTTAGAAGTGATAGAGCTATCCAGTATAAATAAAATTAGTTTAGTTTAGGTTTCCTCCTGTAATAACACTGGATCAATAAGGGATGTCCCTAGTGGACCTCTGGGGTTAACTGATGGCTATTTAGTATAAATAAAATTAGTTTAGTTTGATTCAATACCTTAGCTCTGGTGCGCATTTGCGTGTCATCTTTGTCCATAATGTTATTTTGTTGTCTTTTGATAGACCAATTGTTGTCCGACCATCTGGGCTTATGGCGATGTTCTGGAGTAAAATATGATTAATCGTAAGTACATCAAATTACATTCAGTTCATATATTTTCGATCAAATACAACACTACTACGTAATTGTAATACTTTTGGTATTTTTGATAATTGACCACCCTCTGCTACACGATATGATGGTGATGATGGTGATGATGATGGTGGTGATGATGATGGTTGTTGATAATGGTAATGATGATGATAATGGTGGTGATGATTATGATGGTGGTGGTTGATAATGGTAATGATACTGATCATGATGGTAATGATGATGATGGTGGTGATGATGATGGTGATGGTAATCATGATGGTGATGATAGTGGTGATGATGATAATAGTGGTTTTCCTACCTGTATTTCTCGACCATCATTTGCCTCCAGCACATTATCTACCATGTTCGACTCCGTATTCCACACGCTCACAAAATTTCCTGGACTCGATAAACTGATCATGTGACCTCCTGTTGGCGAATAACACAACTTCTGCACCGACCCGAAGGGATCATCGAGGACTATAGCGCATGCGCCAGTTCCGGTATCCCAGACTCTGATCGTCTTATCCTGCGATGCACTTGCTAAGAAATTGCCATTTGGTGAAAATTTGACATCGTTTACCGAAGCGCAGTGGCCATTAAGTTTTTTCATTTCTGAACCGTTAACAAACGCACCAGCGCCAGGTTGAAATTTGATTAATCGAATACTTTTATCTTCCGAGCATGTTGCTAAATATTGACCAGTTGACGAGATAGTACATGATAGCACTGGACCAGAATGGATTGCTAGAGGAAAAATAGAAATATTTTTGTTGATCAAGTCATTTTGTTCTGTTCTGCAATAGCTGCCGTGGTTTATGTCTGATCTACTTGAAAATAAAAAAAAGATCTCTCAAATGTGGTGGTTCGGTGTAGGTAGTATATTCTACAATAAGCTGCCGTGATTTCTAGGCTGAACTACCTGAAAAAAAGATATATATCGGTAGTGTTCTACAATAAGCTAGCTGTCGTGGTTTGTTTGATGTTTCTGGCAGCTTATAATTTAATTTGTGAATTGTGTACGCTGTAATTTGTGGCAAACCTTTGTGGATAAACATGAAACCATGAATTTTTGAAGATCAATTAAAGTTCGAATATTCAGTCTACAGTAATATCCGGTTAAATTATTCTGAATAAGAGCAAACGTTTTTAATTATACTCTATTATGATCATTAGTAACTTATATTTTTACTGGAATATTCTGCGCAAAACGATACAAGTCTGCGACCACACTAAAAATTGAATTTTGTCCGAAATATTGCATTCTGCAAAGCTCTATTCTACAAACCTTGTCGACTTGTGTCAGTCTTGAAGCTTGTTTTATATATTAATATTTACTAACAAAAACTTATTACATACATACATATTCGCTTGACTTTTCATATGTCAAAAAATGAAACATAATCCCTCGTCTTAATTATATTTTTGAAGAAGATAAAATTTTAACAAGATTTTGATTTTTAATTTCTCTCGATATAATTGACAAGTTTTGGACGTCCCTCCGTGAAACAAATTGCAATGTTTCTTTTAATATGGTTTACGCTTCCCGGGAGCATATTAAAATAAAATGCATGGCATAAATTTCCTGTAACAGGTCGATCAATTTGAAAAATATATTTCATTAGTTCTTAATATATTCAGAATGTTTTGCTATCGCGTATGCGCATGTGCACCGGCGCGATACATTCTCAATAAACTGACAATATCAAAGCTAGAACATCTGAGCTTAATATTGAAACGAAAATTACAGGGAACCTTTTGTATCAAGGGATTATTTTATGCTAATTATGTCAATTTTATGCTAATCATTCAAAGCCAAAATAACCTGAACATGCTGAATTATTTATTATGAAAAGTTTTCCGACAAACAACGGTTTGCAGACATGATGAATTTAAACGATTTATTCATCTTATGTTTCCAAATGTTGTACGATAATAAAAGCAAAGTTTTAAAACAAGGAAAGCAATATATATTAGCAATATATAATGTAGTAAATATCACGAATTGTATAAAGAACTCAAATTATTCATAAATCATGCATTAAAATCATCATTAGGTTTTTAAGTGCTTTTTTTAAAAGCATATTATTTGAAATGCAAATTTTCCGAGTGAAGTTTGCGTGTAATTTACAATCTGAATATAAATATTATTTGCCTGAATAACGTTTTTCGTGTTAAATTCATGCTTTTTGAGATTGCATTGGAAAGAGTATTTATAATAACTATAAGCTTGTTTAAATGCCTATCAAACTATATTTTAATTCATTATAAATTGAAAATTAAACCTGCGGGTTTTAACAAATGAAAATGTGTGCACCGTATATACTGTACACCTTTTAGCGGTTATACCGACGCCTGCAAAACACTGCTTCACCCAAATGGAAATATTTGCACCTAGGTTAATAGTATTTATTGTCAAGGTTTTGATGTAATGAAATAAATTTCTGTGGGCGTAAATGAAAGATCAAAAACCGGTTAGAATAATGCAAATATGCTGTCAAGAAGATGTCGCGTAGATCAAGAAGATTATTATCGCTGCTGCTTAAACAACCTTTCGTGTACAATTCTACACTATTATCTATCACTAGAAAAATAATGTATTTTTGTTGAATCGTGCACCGTGACGTTTTCAAAAAATCCGAATCCTCCCGCTTCACATCTCGTCCCGACAAAGCCGCATCATGTATAAACAGCCCCTCCATTTTGTTTGCCCCCTTTAACAAGATGGCATCGCGAACCCGCGTATTCCGTTCACATCATACAAGATGAATTCGGAACCATGTGCGGGCAATTCGTCCGCTTTCATTTGTTCGCACGAGAACTCGCACGGTCATCTGTGCTCGGATTCCTCCGATGTCTTGCATCGGTGTGAACGCATCGGAGGAAATCGTGCGAACTTGACTGAACTGAACGCCGTGCTGAATTCATCCAGTCTCGCGTCTGAACGTAGCGTTCTGATTAAAGACGTTTCGCGTGGAATCAGTAGAAGTTGGACCGTGCTTCAAATTAGTTGCACCGATTTCACTTTTCAAGTTCACATTAGACAGGATGAAAGCAGACGATATCGAGCACTGCAGCTGAAGCTTTCGGTCAAACGAGAACGAGAGTTGACGAGGTTTAATGTTCCAATTATCACTCGCGTTTGATTGGCTTTTATAGTTTTATCATCGATTCTCGTCAACTTTGAGTTGATTCTCATTTTGATGAGAGTTTTTTCTTGTTTGGCTGGTAATATCCAGTCAACTCTTATCAACTCTCATCGGCAACTCTTGTTCTCGTTTGAAAGAAGCATCAGAGTTGAGAAAACTCTCTGCATGCAAACTCTCGCTTCTCAACTCTCATTAACTCATCCTCTTTGACCAGAGCTTACCCTTAAGAATTCCAATGTAGCCAATTTACAGTGTTCATCGAACAAATTTGCGCATGATGATTCAGAATTTGTCGCCGCGTCAGAATTTCATGCGCTCTTACCTAAACGAGAAGCCCTTCGTCCACTTTCATACAACCATAACACAACTGTTTTATCTTCGGAGCAAGTTGCCAAGATGTTTTCATAAAAACAACAACATGTCACTTCAGCTGTGTGGCCCTCGAGCGAGCGAAGAGGTTCCCCGGTCTCGACATTCCAAAGTAAAACGGTTTTATCCGCAGAACATGTTGCTAGCAGTTCGCCATCTTGGCTAAATTCACAATGCAGCACTGCCCGACTATGCCCTGTCAAGGTTCGAACAACTTTTCCTTCAAACGGCTTGCTCCCAATCTGCCCCATGTTATGTTTTTAATATATCGCAATTTTCATTAACAATGGCAAAATAGGTCATTTACGAACGTATATTCTCATTTATGCGTATAACATATACAATACGATTCATATGTTTTTGTTTCCAGCCAAATCGCTGTTGTGGTTAGGCTTTGCGGTTTGCAACGAGTTTTTAATGGCAACGGCAAAACATTATGGTCACGTCTGGGCTTCGAAGGCCTTTATGGAAGTCCTAGACAAGTTTATGCGTTTTTCAAGAGCTATATGCATGCAAATTTTAGCATTTATATTGGCTCTTCAAAACACCTGTTTACCTTGATAATTTACTTAGCTTGGCCAATCAAAAACTGCCGACAAGTTCAATTAATATGCGATTTTCTGACACATTGGCATATAGTGCCATAGGATAGTGCCTGCGCGCAGGTCTGCCGCACTGTACACAAAATCGTGTTTTATGACTGACTGTTAGCACGCTGAAAGATTGAGATCCGTTCCAAAGTGGTAAATTTTCTTCAAACAAAAATTTAATGTTAGTGTTTACAATGAAAGTCTACAATCATTAAGGCTGCCGATTTAAGTCCAAATTTACTGTGTATGTTTAGACAACAAAAAGTTTAAAAATCTCTAAATCATCTATGCGCCATTGGGTTTCGTTGTAATGTTCTATTCCAGCATATGTGCAGGTTTCACCAAGCACTATTGTGCAATAGATAACGGAACCCATCTATATAAATTTGAAACCACAGGGCCCAACTACACGGCACATTTATATTTATCGTAATATATAAGTCTTAAAAGAGTCATTCTTTCCACCAGACGCCAACTCTGACTCCGAAGTAAGACAAATGTCAAATGATCATTACTATGTGCTATATAGCGTTATTTTTATCGTAGTATATAAGTCTTAAGAGTCATTCTTTCCACCAGACGCCAACTCTGATTCCGAAGTAGAACTGATGATCTTTAATACATTTCTTCAATTCAGATGTGAGACACTTGGCCCACACTGAAGGTTTGTTGCTACATGCCAGGTCCTCATCATATGGCAATCCTTGACACTTTTTATAAGGCGATGTCTTCGTCATCACCCGGTTGCCATAGAAAATCTCCTTTCCATGATGATAGGGGCCCCCTGTATAAGCAATACATGCCCCCCCAGGTACCAAGGATGAACAAGTTGGCAGGTGAACTGCAGGATCTCTGAAATGGGTAACTCTGAAGCTAATTGGGACCAGTCTGTCGTGTCGTAAGGCGTACTGGTGATCCCCGACTCTAGGTTGACCAAACGTGTACAAGAACAGGTTGTTTTTGCGTGTGCGTCCCTCGTGCAGTAGAACTGTGCTTGCCAAAGACGCCAGTGCTCCACCAAGAGAGTGACCAGTAACCCAGACTTTGTAGTGGCGATACCTTGACACAAAAAGGCACGAGACTTATTCTGGGAGATTCTCTCTAGAGGCTCAATATTAAGGGCTCATCGACCAGTGTTACTACAGAAGGAAACTAAACTAGCCTTATACTGGATAGCTCTATTAGTTCTAAACTGTTCTTCCTATTAGAGGTCTGCTAAGTTCATGCTATACTGTTCCAGTGTTACCACAGGAAATACTGAAGTACCTGGAGGAAACCGGTTGTGTTTGGTAGTCACACTGGAAGCGCTCCTCTGCCATGCGCGAGAAACTATATTGTCATAATTTGGTCTCAGAGATGTGTCAAGATAGGATGGTCTGGAAGCCCGCCAAACTTCAAAGCTACAAAATAGAAGACCTTTGTTTGATATTGAACTGTACATCACCGTGCACAAATCCTTTGTCTCAACTTTATTAAATATTATTCATTGTGATTGCACGTTTCATCTCAGTTATTTTTATTGGATGATTACTTCGCTATACGAAAATACAATGTGTGAAAATACAAATTAACGTAAACTCCGACAAAAACATGACACATCGACTTTTGTTCAGTTTCCAGACCATCATATCCTTTATTGATGGGGAATGCCTCAAATCGTAAATCACAAAAGCTCACCTTCTTATCTCTCTATAAACATAATTCTTCAGGTCATTCCAAATCAGAACAAATGCATCGTTGAAATATTTCTGGACCTTTCCACCAGCTTGGAAAGGTACTTTAGGCACAGCCAATATCGTCAGAGCTTCTACTATGACTTGATTGGAATGTTCAGAGCCTCTGAATGCAACGGCGATTGCGCGTTCGGTATGGGAAACTGCGACGAATCCTGAACATTTTGCTTTTCCTGCACAAGACTTTGTGACCTGTCTAACCAGACGGAAGCTAGCCACCTAAATGTTGAACAAAATGCTCATGTACTGGGTAGCTCTATCAGTTCTAAACTGTTCGCCCTTGAGGTCCAGTAAGAGCCGCCTATTGTTGATCCAGTGTTACTAAAGGAGGAAACCTAAACTAAACCAAGCGGCACTAATAGGTCTAATAATGGTTCAATATTCCTCAGAGAGGAAACAGAATGAGATCCAAGACAGGTTGTTATAAAAAAACAAACTTCCAAACTATTTTAGGTTGTTAGTTTGGTGTCACTGTGCAGTGCCGTGCAGCAGATGACAGTCAACCGACAGAGTGGGAAAATGATATGATAATTCTTTTCGTTCTCGGTGTAGTAGTCTGTAATTCGCTTCTCCCCATCAGAGTCGACTGTTGTGAAGTTGAAAAAATGGACAGTTGAAAAAGTGTTTTTATTATCTATGGTGAAACTCTGGCAACCTACCTCTGTTGCTTTAAGTATATACTTAGCGACGTTATCAGCGTACGCCAAAGCAGAGAGATAAACCATTTTGAATGCCAATGAGCTGTCATAAATTGGATTCACAATGCTACTGCAAGTTCTTGCGCTTACAACATCTTCTGTCGTTGAGCAAGGGTTGGTGAGGATTGCGCCATAAGTGTGACATTTTTTATCTCTTGGGCACCAACGACACGGCTTTCCTGACCAGCTTTTGTGATTTGTACATGACACGCAATTTCGCTTCGAGTCGCACCGAGTTATTCTAATCGAAATGCGTCTTCTGGATCTACTGCGAAATAAGAACGCATCATTGAGAGCAACTAGGCAAAGGAATAGAAAGCACAGCCAAGCCACCGAGAGCGCCATGTCGGATATGCTGACTAGTGTGTTCGCACTGCTTTGATTGAGGATATAAAACTGCTGAAACGTGCCTCAATATTGAATAAAAATGCGTCATGCACCACTACCTCATCCGGCGACTTATAGTGAACTGAAAGACACTCTTTGTTTTCATAACATTTCATGATCAATTTACAATGAAAGTGTACAATTATTAAGGCTGCTGATTTAAGTCTAAATTTACTGTGTATGTATAGACAACAAAAAGTTTTAAAATCTCTAAATCATCTATGCGCCATTGGGTTGCGTTGTAAAGTTCTCTTCTATAATATATGTGATATGTGCAGGTTTCAGCAAACACTATTGTGCAATACATAACGTGATAACGGAATCGATGTATATAAATTTGAAACCACAAGGCCCAACTACACGGCACATCTATAAAACGTCTTAACTGCACAGCACATCTACTATTGGCTAAATAGCGTTATTTTATCGTAGTCTAAGTCTTAAAAAAGTCATTCTTTCCACCAGACGCCAACTCTGACTCCGAAGTAAGACAAATGATCATTAATACAATTCTTCAATTCAGACGTGAAACACTTGGCCCACACTGAAGGTTTGTTACTGCATGCCAGGTCCTCGTCATATGGCAAACCTTGACACTTTTTATAAGGCGATGTCTTCGTCATTACCCGGTTGCCATAGAAAATCTCCTTCCCATGATGATAGGGCCCCCCTGTATAGGCAATACATGCCCCCCCAGGTACCAAGGATGAACAGGTTGGCAGGTGAACTATAGGATCTCTGAAATGGGTGACTCTGAAGCTAATTGGGACCAGTTTGTCGTGTCGTAAGGCGTACTGGTGATCCCCGACTCTAGGTTGACCAAACGTGTACAAGAACAGGTTGCTTTTGGGTGTGCGTGCCTCGTGCAGTAGAACTGTGCTTGCCAAAGACGCCAGTGCTCCACCAAGAGAGTGGCCAGTAACCCAGACTTTGTAGTGGCGATACCTTGACACAAAAAGGCACGAGACTTTACTCGAGATATTTTGGGCGACTCTCTCTAGAGGCTCAGTAAGAGGCCATCGACCAGTGTTACTACTGCAGGAGGAAACTAAACTAGCATTATTTATACTGGATAGCTCGGCATGTAGTAAAACACTGACTACCGGAACACCGGAACACCACCGGAACACCGAAACACCGCCATTTTGTTTGGGGTTAGGGTTTGGGGTTAGGGTTAGGGTTGGGGGTTAGGGTTGGGGTTAGGGTTAGGGTTGGGGGGTTAGGGTTGGGGTTAGGGTTAGGTGGTGTTCCGGTGGTGTTCCGGCGGTGTTCCGGTGGTGTTCCGGTGTTCCGGTAGTCAGTGTTTTACTACATGCCGGATAGCTCTAATAGTTCTAAACTGTTCTACCTATAGAGGTCTACTTAATTCATGCTAAATTGTTCCAGTGTTACGACACGAACAAACATAAGTTTCTGGAGAAAACCTGTGGTGTTTGGTAGAGTCGTACCATGGATTGTGAAATTGTATTTTATTGTCCATGGTCCTACTGGAAGCGCTCCTCTACTGGAAGCGCTCCTCTGGCATACGCGAGAAATTATATTGCCGTAATTTGGTCTCAGAGGTCTGTCAAGATAATGAAGATATGATGGTCTGGAAGCCGGGCAAACTTCAAATCTACAAAATAAAAGACCTTTGTTTGATGTTGAACTGTAGATCTTTGTTTGATGTTGAACTGTAGAAAAATCCTTTGTCTCAACTTCATTAAATATTATTCATCGTGATTGCATGTTTCATCTCAGTTATTTTTATTGGACGGTTACTTCATTATACGAAAATACAATGAGCTCAATCACCGTGACCGTGCAGAAATTAACATAAACTGAGATAAAAACATTACACGTTGACGTCTGTCCAGTAGGGAATTAGAGACCTTACGATTTTAGGACGGCAACGCGACGACAACGGCTACCAATACAATAGATCATTGAAAAGAATTGAGTAATTACAATAAATGAATAATTTAGACATTGTTCTCGCTCTGTTTACAACGCCAAATCACAGATTTTCACGTGTTGATACAACGGCTGCATTCCAAGCCACAACAAGTGCAACTTCAAACTGGGTTTAGCAGAACTCTTCCCAACCATAAAACCCATGTCTTCAACTTCTAAGACTGTATTAAATTCATACGATTGATAATATACCACGAACTATCCACTACCATTTATTTGAAGGAGTTTGTTTTGGCCGTCGCGGTTGCCGTCCTAAAATCGTAAGGTCTCTATTTACGCATGTACGACGGCGGCGTCAGGACGACGGCTAAACAAACTTTTTGAAATAAATGATTGTATGAAAATGTTGTCCTGTATTTACTTTCTTATGAATTTAACTCAGTTTACAACGAGTAAAACAGAGCTTTAACCTAATTCAGAGCAATTTTGATCAACGCTGTTAGAAAAATCGCCTGGCTTGAAATGCTAGCGTACTTTACAAGACGTGAAAATATTCATTTTGCCGTCACAACAGAGCATGGACGACGTCTGAAACTCCAGATATACTTTTAATTATTCATTTCTTTTGTGCTATAGGATTAATGATATTGTATTGATTGCCGTCGTACTGATGTTGCCGTCTTACACGCGTAAACTCCCTAGTTTCCAGACCATCATATCTTAATTGAGCGAATCACAAAAGTCCACCTTGTTATTTCTGCATAAACATTATTCTTGAGATCATTCCAAATCAGAACAAATGCATCGTTGAAATATTTCTGGACCTTTCCACCAGCTTGGAAAGGTACTTTAGGCACAGCCAATACCGTCAGAGCTTCTACTATGATTTGATTGGAATGTTCAGAGCCTCTGAATGCAACGGCGATTGCGCGTTCGGTATGGGAAACTGCGACGAATCCTGAACATTTTGCTTTTCCTGCACAAGGCTTTGTGACCTGTCTAACCAGACGGAAGCTAGCCACCTAAATGTTGAACAAAATACTCATGTACTGGTTAACTAACTTTATTTACACTGGATAGCTCTATCAGTTCTAAACTGTTCTCCTTTGAAGTTGAGTAAGAGCTGTCTCCTGTTGATCCAGTGATACTACAGGAGGAAACCTAAACTAAACTAACTTTATTTTTACTGTATAGTTCTATCAGTTCTAAACTGTTCCCCTTTGAAGTTGAGTAAGAGCTGTCTCCTGTTGATCCAGTGATACTACAGGAGGAACCTAAACTAAACTAACTTTATTTTTACTGGATAGCTCTAAACTCTTCTCCCTTGAGGTGCAGTAAGAGCCGTCTCTTGTTGATCCAGTGTTACTACAGTAGTATAATAGGCCTAATAGTGCATGGTCCAATATTACCAAGTTGTAATAAAAAAACAAACTTCCAAACTATTCTAGGTTGTTAGTTTGATGTCACTATGCCGTGTGGTGCAGCAGATGTCAGTCAACCGAGAGAGTGGCAAAATGGTATGATAATTCTTTTCGTTCTCGGTGTAGTAGTCTGTAATTCGCTTCTCCCCATCAGAGTCAACTGTCCTGAAGTTGACGACTATCTGTTGCTTCGCTTACTGAAACGATGGACAGTTGAAAAAGTGTTCTTATTATCTATGGTGAAACTCCGGGAACCTACCTCTGTTGCTTTAGGTATATACGTAGCGACATTATCGGCGTACGCCAAAGCAGAGAGATAAACCATTTTGAATGCCAATGAGCTGTCATAAATTGGATTCACAATGCTACTGCAAGCTCTTGCGCTTACAACATCTTCTGTCGTTGAGCAAGGGTTGGTGAAGATTGCTCCATAAGTGTGACATTTTTTATCTCTTGGGCACCAACGACACGGCTTTCCTGACCAGCTTTTGTGATTTGTACATGAAACGCAATTTTGCTTCGAGTCGCACCGGGCCGAATTGGGTCTTCTGGATCTTCTGCGAAAAAACCAAGCATCATTGAAAGCAACTAGGCAAAGAAGTAAAAAGCACAGCCAAGCTACCGAGAGCGTCATGTCGGATATACTGACTAGTGTGTTCGCACTGCAGGAAATAAAACTCTGCTGCCAAACGTACCTCGAAATTGAATAAAAACTCCGTCATGCACCACTACCTCATCCGGTAACTATAGTGAGCTGCAAAACACTCTTTGTTTTCATACTGAAAGTTAATATAATTGTTTTTGGAAATTCCAGGTTTATTACTAAACTAACCTGCGATCAGGCGTTATTTTTAGTGCGGGTATACTGACTCGTTTTATTTATACTAGAGGCATTTATTTAGATCTTGTATTTGTCGTTTCTCCTCCACTGTTATTCTTGCAAAATCTACTTCTTCGTTGTTAACATTCGTGATATCATTTGGTTTTGGAATTTCACTTATCCAGTATAAATCTGTTCACAAGCTGTCGACAAGTTGTGTTCGCACTGCTTGTTCCCAGTTGTTGTAACAAGTTTGGAACAAGCTTGATGGCATTATCAGGCTTGTTGCAAGGTTGTTCTAACAAATCTAACACAGTCCTGATATAACAAGTATATGTTACATGGTTGACGACACAAGGTTGTAACAATATTGTTATATCATGATTGTATCGGACTTGTTGGAACAACCTTGCAACAAATTAAAAGTCTGATAATATCAACAAGGTTGTTACACGTTCTTAACAGCTTGTTCCAAACTTGTTGACAAGTTGAGACAAGCAGTGCGAACACAACTTGTTGACAGCTTGTTGGAAACATCACCTTTATTTTGTATTACCAGCTTTCAATATATGTGAGCCTGCAAACCTACAAGATCAAGGATCTCATTGTGGTTTATTACTATCGTATTCAAGATAACGAAATAGCTATAGAAAAAAACACACCACAAAATACGTGATATAGCGACTTTCTTTCTCTCCAAATTACGCGGCAATTATTTGGAAAGTGTAGTACCTTTAAAAATATATTTAGTTTCGGCGTAATTGCCTGAATGTCTACAAAGTCGTGTCTTCTGTAATATTTTCCCCATCGGCATGTCCATGAAAACAAGAGAGTTTACTCTATTAATGGCAACGCAATTTAAGTCTGCATTTCAGTTTAGGCAGAATGAACATGTAATTCATCAAGTACTTTAGAAAATTGATGAACGAATCAAACTCACATTACCAGTGTTTTGTATAATTTATTTAAAAATCCACGACTATAATTACGTTCTCAATAAAACCAAGTTTCACTAAATTTCTTCCGCTTTGATTTCTGAACGAGCATAATAATGCGAATCGATTAATTTTCCGTTTGCTACTTTGCTGTATTTAAAAGGTCATCATATCCGGGGGAGCGAAACTTCAACCTGGTACGTTCCCGGATCTAGTAAGCGCCAGTAGCAGTGGCCAGTAGTCTCCTTGGATGGTGTCTGTACGCAGAACATATTTGGAAGGGGCTGCCGAACTATACACAAAATCGCGTTTTTTGTCAAAGAACCACTAGCACGCTGAAAGATTGAGATCCGTTCCAAAGTGGTAAATTTTCTTCAAACAAAAATTTAATGTTTACAATGAAAGTGTACAATCATTAAGGCTGCTGATTTAAGTCTAAATTTACTGTGTATGTTATAGAGAACAAAAAAGTTTAAACATCTCTAAATCATCTATGCGCCATTGGGTTTCGTTGTAAAGTTCTCTTCTATCATATATGTGATATGTGCAGGTTTCAGCAAACACTATTGTGCAATACATAACGTGATAACGGAACCGATCTATAGTTGTCAGTGTGTATCAAAATAATTCGAATCCAAATTTGACAGACTGCTGTTTATAAAATACTAAAGTAAACCATATAATTTTTATATGGCAATAAAGAATAGCCTATTAGGTTTCCGATTATATCGTTCTTATATCAATAAGATCAAAAATGACCAAGAAATCGTGTGTTAAAACTGGTTGCTCGAAATCAAATTTTTCCGCCGATGAGAATTCGAAGTGAGACGTACAAACAAAAGATAATGCAAATTTAATTAATCAACAAACTGTTATACTTATGTAGCAAAATTTACATAAATTCGTGTTCATTTAACTAAGAGATTTAGGCAGCGTTTACACTGTACCGTTTTCGTAGCGTTCTCGTATTGTTCTTAATCCTCAAGGGAACGCAAGACAATAGTCTAGTTCTCTCGAACAATACGAGAACGCTACGAAAACGGTACAGTGTAAACGCTGCCTTAAGCTCCTATGCCTTAAACATGTTGAACGAGAAGAAATTCGCGTTAAATTTGCATTTTAGTTTTCAGTGATGATTAGCATTTCAAAGCCTTGTGGGACTAACTTTGAAAGAAAAAATGTCCAATTCCCATCGGCGGAAAATTGTGATTTTTATGGACTTTTTTTGTCAAAGCAATACTCCTTCATTTTCCAACTAAATGACGCGTACAGCATGTCATTTGAAAGGTAAATAAATGAACTTAACAATGGTGTAAAAACCAACCGAATTTGTCAAATATATTCTGCGTTATTACACGCCAAATTTGGATTCGAATTATTTTGATACACACTGTATATAAATTTGAAACCACACGGCTCAACTACACGGCACATCTATAAAACGTCTTAACTGCACAGCACATCTACTATTGGCTAAATAGCGTTATTTTATCGTAGTATAAGTCTTAAAAAAGTCATTCTTTCCACCAGACGCCAACTCTGACTCCGAAGTAAGACAAATGATCATTAATACAATTCTTCAATTCAGACGTGAAACACTTGGCCCACACTGAAGGTTTGTTGCTGCATGCCAGGTCCTCGTTATGTGGCAATCCTTGACACTTTTTATAAGGCGATGTCTTCGTCATTACCCGGTTGCCATAGAAAATCTCCTTCCCATGATGATAGGGGCCCCCTGTAAAGGAAATACATGGCGTCCCAGGTAGCAGTAGCAAGGTTTTACAGGTTGGCAGGTGAACTACAGGATCTCGGAAATGGGTAACTCTGAAGCTAATTGGGACCAGTTTGTCGTGTCGTAAGGCGTACTTGTGATCCCCGACTCTAGGTTGACCAAACGTGTACAAGAACAGGTTGTTTTTGGGTGTGCGTTCCTCGTGCAGTAGAACTGTGCTTGCCAAAGACGCCAGTGCTCCACCAAGAGAGTGACCAGTAACCCAGACTTTGTAGTGGCGATACCTTGACACAAAAAGGCACGAGACTTTACTCGAGATATTTTGGGCGATTCTCTCTAGAGGCTCAGTAAGAGGCCATCGACCAGTGTTACTACTGCAGGAGGGAACTAAACTAGCATTATTTATACTGGATAGCTCTAATAGTTCTAAACTGTTCTTCCTGTAGATGTCTATACTAAATTCATGCCATATTGTTCCAGTGTTACCACAGGAGGAAACTACACTAGCTTTATTTATACTGGATAGCTCTAACAGTTCTAATAAAACTGTTCCACCTATAGAGGTCTACGAAATTCATGCTATATTGTTCCAGTTTTACGACACGAAGAAATATAAGTTACTGGAGAAAACCTCTGGTATTTGATAGAGTCATACTGGATGCGCTCCTCTGGCATACGCGGGAAATTATATTGCCGTAATTTGGTCTCAGAGGTCTGTCAAGATAATGAAGATATGATGATGGTCTGGAATCCCGCCAAACTTCAAAGCTACAAAATAGAAGAGCTTTGTTTGATGTTGAACTGTACCTCAGCATGCACAAATCCTTTGTCTCAACTTCATTAAATATTATTGATTGTGATTGCACGTTTCATCTCAGCTATCCCTATTGGACGGTTACTTCATTATATGAAAATACAATGAGCTCAGTCACTGTGACCGTGCAGAAATTAACATAAACTGAGATAAAAACATAACACGTTGACGTCTGTTCAGTTTCCAGATCATCATATCTTTATTGAGCGAATCACAAAAGTCCACCTTGTTATTTCGCTATAAACATAATTCTTCAGGTCATTCCAAATCAGAACAAATGCATCGTTGAAATATTTCTGGACCTTTCCACCAGCTTGGAAAGGTACTTTAGGCACAGCCAATATCGTCAGAGCTTCTACTATAACTTGATAGGAATGTTCAGAGCCTCTGAATGCAACGGCGATTGCGCGTTCGGTATGGGAAACTGCGACGAATCCTGAACATTTTGCTTTTCCTGCACAAGACTTTGTGACCTGTCTAACCAGACGGAAGCTAGCCACCTAAATGTTGAACAAAATGCTCATGTACTGGGTAACTAACTTTATTTCTACTGGATAGCTCTATCAGTTCTAAACTTTGCTGTGTTGCTGTAATGTACTCAGGTGAATAAGATGCTTGTGTGATGTTACTCTGAGTGTATATCCACACCGGGCAGGCTTGACCCACTCGCTTGATCACACAAGCATCTTATTCACCTGAGTACATTACACCAATACAGCTCTAATATCATGATTATTAGATTGCACTGATATCGAAGGAACTAGACTCAGTTCCGAAATATCGCATACTCGACCTGACCGCGTAGCTCACTAGTTGGCAGAGCATTGGGCTAGTATTCCAAAGGTCGTAGGTTCGAATCCTACCGTGGCCAGGCATATTTTTCAAGCCTGCCCGGTGTGGATATACACTCAGAGTAACATCACACAAGCATCAGTTCTAAACTGTTCTCCTTTGAAGTTGAGTAAGAGCTGTTTCCTGTTGATCCAGTGTTACTACAGGAGGAAACCTAAACTAACTTTATTTATACTGGATAGTTCTATCATTCTAAATACCTCGGTAAGGATTATCTCTTATTGATCCAGTGATACTACAGGAGGAAACCTAAACTAACTTTATTTATACTGGATAGCTCTATCGTTCTAAATACCTCGGTAAGGATCATCTCTTATTGATCCAGTGATACTACAGGAGGAACCTAAACTAAACTAACTTTATTTATACTGGATAGCTCTAAACTCTTCTCCCTTGAGGTGCCGTAAGAGCCGTCTCTTGTTGATCCAGTGTTGCTACAGTAGTATATAATAGGCCTAATAGTGGTCCAATATTACCTCAAAGAGGAAACGCAATGAGATCCAAGACAAGTTAATTGTTATAAAAAAAACAAACTTATTTTAGGTTGTTAGTCTGGTGTCATTATGCAGTGTCGCGCAGCAGATGTCAGTCAACCGAAAGAGTGGGAAATGGTATGATACTTCTTTTCGTTCTATGTAGTAGTCAGTAATTAGAGAGTTTAAGCTTCGCGTAATCGCGTTATACGTTATACGTCAAACGGCAAAGCCAGGCAAAGAAAAAAGTTTATGGTATCAGGCAATAAAGAATAAATGAACTTGCTGTTTTAAAACTGAAATACATAATTATTCTTTCGACGCAAGAAAGAAAATATGAAACGAAAACGTTCAACGAAAATTTTGCCAAGAAAGTTCGAACCTGCCGTTTGCCGTTCCCGAAAATGTGAAGCTTGAACTTCCTAATATTCTCTTCTCCCCATCAGAGTCAACTGTTCTGAAGTTGGCTACCATCTGTTACTTCGCTTACAGAAAAAATGGACAGTTGAAAAAGTGTTTTTATTATCTATGGTGAAACTCAGGCAACCTACCTCTGTTGCTTTAGGTATATACGTAGCGACATTATCAGCGTACGCCAAAGCAGAGAGATAAACCATTTTGAATGCCAATGAGCTGTCGTAAATTGGATTCACAATGCTACTGCAAGCTCTTGCGCTTACAACATTTTCTGCCGTTGAGCAAGGGTTGGTAAAGATTGCGCCATAAGTGTGACATTTTTTATCTCTTGGGCACCAACGACACGGCTTTCCTGACCAGCTTTTGTGATTTGTACATGAAACGCAATTTTGCTTCGAGTCGCACCGAGCCGAATTGCGTCTTCTGGATCTTCTGCGAAAAAACCAAGCATCATTGAGAGCAACTAGGCAAAGAAGTAAAAGGCACAACCAAGTCACTGAGAGCGTCATCTTCGATGTGGATATACTGACTAGTGTGTTCGCACTGCTTCTTTGAGGAAATAAAACTCTGCTGATACGTGCCTCAAAATTCAATAAAAACGCGTTATGCACCACTACCTCATCCGGCCAATACTCAGTAGTGAGCTGAAAGACACTCTTTGTTTTCATAGTGAAAGTGAATATAATTGTTTCTGGAAAACACCAGGTTCATTACCAAAGGCGTTATTTTTAGTGCGGGTAGACTCTTTTTATTTATACTAGAGGTATTTATTTAGATCTTGTATTTGTCGTTTCTCCTCCACTATTATTCTTGCAAAATCTACTTCTTCGTTGTTAACATTCGTGATGTCATTTGGTTTTGGAATTGACCATTTGCGTAATAGACTAAATTTTGAACTAAACAAGTCTAGACAAAAATTTCATCACAGCTTGAAGGAGCATCACAAAATGCTATCAATTTCCGGTTTGTAATCTAGAATGACTGAAAATTGCAAATTTCGCAAGGCTATATTTTCCGCATTTTACAACATTTTGCAACGAAACTTTGGAATATTACTAATTTTGTGATGCTCTTTCAAGCTGTTGTTGTAACAAGTTTGGAACAAGCTGTTAACGACTTGTAACAAGCTTGATGGTGTTATCAGACTTGTTACAAGGTTGTTCTAACAAGCCTGACACAGTCATGATACAACAAGTATGTTACAAGGTTGACGACACAAGGTTGTAACAATATTGTTATATCATGACTGTATCGGACTCAGTTGGAACAACCTTGCCACAAAAGTCTGATAATATCAACAAGGTTGTTACACGTTCTTAACAGCTTGTTCTAAACTTGTTGACAAGTTGGGCCAAGCAGAGCGAACACAACTTGCTGACAGCTTGTTGGAAACATCACCTTTATTTTGTATTACCAGCTTTCAATATGCGAGCCTGTAAACCTACAAGGTCAAGGATCTCATTGCGGTTTATTACAATTATTATACATTTAATATGTATTCTCGTTTCTAATTGGTCAGAAAGCACCGGCTAATTTTCAGTATTCGGCATTTATTACGTATTTTCCGCCGATGACGTCATCAGCGTCCAATAATTGTTTTTTGTTCCAAAATAAAAATTATTGGACTCTCTCGTGCCCAAACCCTTGCGCGGTCGAAAGCTTGAACCTATAAGCGCGCGAAAAAACAAACAAACAATGGCCTACATTTGCTTTGCTGAATGAAAGTGAACTCTCCAAATTATTGGCAGATAAGGATAGTGAAAGCACGAAAAAAGCCACACAGGGGTAAATAGAAGTAGAATATTTAGCTGACCTTTGATTTTGTGCAAGGTGTTTGATATTTGAATTGTACTTTTCCTACCTCATGAACAGGAATCGTTTTATACGTTTCTCATGTCTTTAAATGTATAATAAAATAATTATTGGATTCGGCTTTCGCATGATATCAAGAATTATTCAGGCCTCGGTCTATGTTATCCGCCTCAGCTTCGCTTCGGCAGATAACATTGACCTCGGTCTGAATAATTCTTGATATCATGCTCAGCCTCATCCAATAATTGCTTATTATCTTCAAGATAACGAAATATCTTTGCGGCTTTCTTTTCATCTGCGAATTACGGCAATTATTTCGAAAGTGTGGCACTTTAAAAAAAGAGAAAGAATCATAAATAGCGACTTTCTTTTCATCTGCAAATTACGGCAAGTCTGCATTCTGTTTATAGGCAGACAGAACATGTAGGCCAATGATGTTTGTGATGTCACTCTGAGTGTGTATCCACACCGGGCAAGGTTGAAAAATATGCCTGGCCACGGTGGGAATCGAACCTACGACCTTTGGAATACTAGCCCAATGCTCTGCCAACTGAGGTACGTGGTCAGGTCACCGTGGCCAGGCATATTTTTCAAGCTTGCCCGGTGTGGATATACACTCAGAGTAACATCACAAACATCACATTCACCTGAGTACACAACACCAACACAGCCTACGCTAATTACAATTTTCAAGTACTTTAGAAAATCGAAGAACGAATCAAACTCACATTGCCAGTGTTTTGAATAATTTATTGAACATAAATCCACGATTATAATTACATTTTTCAATAAAACCAAGTTCCACTAAATTTCTCCGCTTTGATTTTTGAACGAGCATAATAATGCGAATCGATTTGCAGGAAGGCTAATTTTCCGTTTGCTGTATTTAAAAGGTCATATTTAATTTATCTTTAGCACACAGACTGTTTAGTCAATAAGCAAGGTATTGTTTTTAAGCCTGGGCGTTTGGAGTGGTGGGTTTCAATAAGCATTACGGGAAGATGATGATGGTTTATACCTGAAGCCTTGAAACAAATTGTGCAATAAAAGGTAGGAAATTTAGTGGAACACGGCATGAACCTAAGTGAATTCCATTTTCGAGTACTCATAGTCCTTGCGCACCTTGCGATAATACAAGATCATCACAACAATAACAACCAGCAACAGTCCCGCAACAGTAAGTAACACTACGGCAATAACACCCGGCCGTGATGCTGAAGCGTCATTGTCTTTCTGCATGTACAATGTACCATCATCCAACTCCAGAACAAAATCAACTCTGGTAGGTTCAGATCCAACTTTGACACTTCTCGACACCTTCCCCGGAGCACCCGGAAGCGAAACTTCAACCTTGTACGTTCCCGGATTTAGTAAGCGCCAGTAGTCTCCGTGTACAGCGGATTTTACCACCTTTCGGCCATCGGTGATGTTCACGAGTGCGCCTGCAAGCAAGTTACCGCTCAGATCCTTTACTGTACCATAAATACCTGAGTGCACCTAGATTGTGGAATGAAAAGAAAAAATTCATTACGATTTTGCTGCATCTCTTTCGATAGAACTGATTGTGGATGGGTTTTTCTAGATGGGTTTTTCTAGATGGGTTTTTCTAGATGGGTTTTTCTACGCAGATTTATGATACAATTTTAGACCTAAACCAGGAGCAGCTGCGAAAAATGCAACTACCTATCCTCTGGCAGGAATCGAATCTACGGCCCTGCGATTCCGGTACAGTGCTCTAACCAACTCAGCTACAGAGGCTCTGTCCTCCGCAGAGGCTTCTGTTGGCTATGATTACGATTAGTATTGAACTCTTTTTTCAACCGAATTGTCTTTCTCTGGAATAATCTCTCTCCTACCATTCGTAATAGTTCATCCGTTTCCTCCTTTAAAAACAGACTAACTGTTCATTACTCTTCTCTACTTCATTCATCTTCTCTACTTCATTCATCTTTCGATGTAAACAGAATGCGCACTTGGAAAACCTTCTGTTCTAAGTGCCGCTCTTTCAACTTAAGCTGTTGTTCGTAATTCGTCATGTTTTCTGTAAATTTTATATTTGTTATCGTCT